TTGTAGGCTTTATGAGTCAATGAAATATAGCGAAATTGCACACTGGGAATGCAGACTTATCCGTCTTTGGCACCAACTCGAGGAAAGTCAGTTTGAGTGTCACATGGAGACGTGTGGTGGCGCTGAAGTCAATACCTCGTGTGACCACCGTGGGCATCCAGAACTGCACGGCATCGCCTCGGCATCGAACGAATAAGTCTCAGAATCTCGTGTTGCCCAATCGCAGCCCACTCTGCCTGTAGTGCCTGTGCGAGTTGCTGAAGTGTCTGGGGCTGAGGGTTACGGCGTCGCACCCGTCTGTCAGGGCATCCACAGATGTTCGATCGGGTTTAAGTCCGGTGATCTTGAGGGCCAGGGGAGCACATTGATGTTGTGGTTCTGGAGGAAGTCTCTAGTGTGACGTGCTGTGTGGGGCCTGGCATTGTCCTGTTGAAACAACTCCCTCTGGCGATCAATGATTGGAAGGAGGTGTGGGCGTAGGATTTCGTCACAGTACCGTTGAGCTGTCAGGTTGCCCTGGATCATCACCAAATCACTTCTCCTACGGCAGGTGATCGCTCCCCACATCATAACACTGTCCCCGGCCGAATCTGGCCACCTGGGGAACGCAAGCGTCGGCGAAACGTTCACGTCGACGTCTGTACACCCGCATTCTTCCATCGCGTCGTTCCAATAGAAATCGTGATTCATCACTGAACCAGATTCTACGCCAATTCGGTAGGTTCAGGCCTGAACGTTGGTGCACCATTGAACTCGATGTCGACGATGTTGTTGTCGAAGCACAGGGCCAAAATAAGGTCTTCTGGCACGTAAACCAGCCTCTCTCAACCTGTTCCTGACGGTCTGTGCAGAAAGCCTCCTCAATCCGGGTATTTGTCGAGCGGTACTGGTCGCCGTAGCTGTTCGATGACGCAGGTGATGTACCCGGATGTAGCGATCCTGCGCCGCAGTGGTCGCTCGAGGTCGCCCACTACGAGGGGCATCTGCTACCGAATTCTGCCGGCGATATCTCTCCCAGAGCCGTGAAATGGTGCTTTGGTGAACATTCATGCGTCGGGCAACTGCACGTTGAGACTGGCCAGCTTCAAACAAACCAATGGCGATATGACGGTTGGCTTCACTTAGACGTGGCATTTTGCGTTCGTCAACAATATTCCAAATACAGTGAATAATCGACAGACAGCGATCAACCTTTTATACCCATCATTGAGACTATCTGATCCCCAACTTTCACGTGCATTGCATGTGAATTGTGTATTCTGTGACACTACACGCCGAAATTGAAAATCATGCTGTTAAATACGGGTATTTTACGGATGGTGCGTTTTGTTGTGATGTTTCAAAACATAAACACCATAGGACTCATAAACAGAGCAAAACCTTTTGTAAAATGAATCACGTTTTAATTCATTGCTACATGAAATTGCTATTTTCATGATGCGTTTCTTTTGGGAGAGTATATTACATAGACCGAGTGTATTGTACATTCATTGTATTCACTTGTATTCCTTCAGCCATACATATTTAAGAATCGGACTTATTGACACTGACATGGTACCAGGGTTTCAGGATCAGTCACGGTGATGCAAAACGGAATTCACTGACGATTATTTGTCAATTCATGCATTCCCTTGAGGTTTGAAAGGCATCCTTTCACATAATGGGCAATATTAATTATATAATGTTATTTGCCATTTGTGTGAACAGCCAACGATCTGATGGCTTGAATTGAACTTCTCTCTATTGCAGACAGCGGCACCTTCCTCATCCACAACGGATCTGGCGCCTCCCGCGACACATCCAACATCGCCAACAGACTGAGGAGCAGGAGGACTTTAACACGTGGCCACTAGGTGAGTGCAGGAACTTTATTCACTCCTTGTTGAGTGTGAGTGAGTGAGGTTAGTTTACGCCGCTTTTAGCAATATTCAGCAATATCACGGCGGGGGACACCAGAAATGGGCTTCACACATAGTACCCACGTGGGGAATGGAACCAGGGTCTTCAGCGTGACGAGCGAACGCTTTAACCACTAGGCTACCCCACCGCCCCTCACTCCTTGTTGAATAAATGCGAGTCGGGTTTATACGTCAAAAGAAAGACTGTCAAACGTAGCCACTAGGTTGGTACAGGTACTTTAAGACACTTTGTGGCAATAGCTTAGAATCGGTGTTATGCTCCAACAGGAAAACTGGTAAAATATTGCCAATGAGTTAGTATAAGGACATTACAAATAAACTTCAGGCTGAATTAAAGAGCGACGGTTTAATACGTCACAGATGGTGAAGTTTTGACTATTGAAGTGAATTCGGTTAGTGTGGTGCACATTATATGCAGACTGGTCACTATTTGATAATGCAGGGGCATTGGGTATGTTATACATTGTGGTACTTCGCCACAGAGTATTGGTATATTCATATCTTGTATGTTATACATTGTGGTACACCGCCGCTAAATATTAGTATATGGAGACCGTGAAAGTGGCCATGGGGATATTTTTACACTGATAAACGTGGCCATTCCATGTGATTATCAGGTTTGGCGGTAACATGTGGTTTATGCTGAAAACTGTTCCTAATTTTCATCAGTTATCTTGGTAATAATTGATAGTAATTGTGCTGACTGGATGAACAAGGTCCTTTGTAGTCAACAAAAGACGGCTTTTCTTGACAAAACAATCAGCATGCTATGATTGATGGCATATTCACAATTGTAGACATGCATTATCCTTCGTAATTTTAACCATTCAGTTTGAACAGTGAATCTGATTAGATTTAGTATGCATTCCTTCCACTGTTAACATTATTTGAATATTGTGTAAGGTTACCCCATTGAGAAGTGTTGTGTTGCAATAGGTTGTTCACTAATAATGCGAGCTGTTCCAGAACTAATGGTTCTCCTTTTGACTTGTTTTCAGAAAATGGATTCCTTTTGAGTGGGGACTGCATGGTGCTTTATACAAAACCTTTTACTTCGAACTGTCATAGTTTTCGAAGCGTTTTACAATCTTGAGACTGTAAATTGTAACCTCTTTTCATATTTTGTACACCTAACAAAATAAATCGTTTTGCACGAACTTTTGTTTGTCAGTGATTACTTGTCTTATCGAATCTAATGTTACATGGTTCTGCGAGCAGTTTACTGGTGGTCGAGGTGTTTGTGTTCCTCAGTTGCCGGTTCGCATCCGTATCCAGCTTTAATACCCAGTTTTAATACTTCGTCGTTTTTTGCTGACACTGTGACTGAGTGTGTACGTCCGTGCGTGCTTAAATACACTTCACACAAGGAATCGAGCATGGGTATTCGATGTGCTCCAATCTATGACCAACCTGTCTACTCAACAGACACCAGCTACATTTGCTCTTTAGGGAATCGCCATGAGAATTCAACAGGTCTTATATTTGGGATAACACTTTCTCAGTAAACATTGTAGTACTTTGGTTACTGGAGTCTGGTCCGGGATTCGAACCCCACTCTGTCAGGCACTTAATCGCACACACACAAAGTCGGCCATCTAACCCCCCGCGGCTTCCAGAGAATGGAAGTAGGATAACTTGTAGTCTGGATCACGTACTTTGTGTAGCCCTAAATTGTACATTGGCACGACTCCCCCGGCCGAAAGTTATGAATAAACGTGACCGAGCGAATCAAGTTTTACGCCGCGCTCAGCAACATTCCAGTAGTCGATCAGGGACCGCAACTGGGATACGATGTGTCGCTCAACCAAATCAGCGAGCCTGATCCCGTTAGTTGCCTATTACAAGCATGGGTTACTGAAGACCAATTCGAACCAGGATTTTCACGGGTCGAATACATATGAATTTACTGAGAAAGTGTCATCCCAAATATAAGATGTTACATTTGATCACTTTCTAAATGGTATTGTGTGTCCTGGGAATTGGTAAAATACATGTGTATCAGTGGAATCTGTAAATAAACTAACCATTGAGCGTTTAGGACACGGTATCCATTTCGTGTTTACGATACAATACGCTGTAAGCATACATACATGGTGTGGCCTGGAAACATTCTGAAATGCAGCGATGAAGTGAATTTAACTCCATGCCGGTCAGAATTATATCAGTGTATCACTTTGACCTTCGAATAATTATAGATGGACAAGACAAACCAGTGTTCAGTTCATTCGATGACGACTCGATGACAACTCAATCCATTTCAGTTGCCCCATTCCACGAAATTCTTAGTGAGTTGGGTTCTACGCCGCTTTCAGCCATATTCCCGCAACATCACGGCGGGAGACACCAGAAATAGGCTTCACCCATTATACCCATGTGGGGAATCGAACCCAGGCCTTTGGAGTGACGAGCGAACACTTGAACCACAAGGCAACGCCACCGCCCTCCACAAAATTTTTAGGTGGAAGAATAAACCGGACCAGGCAAGCACGACTGCTCAACACTGCATGGTGGATCGGTTCTTTTAAGCCACCTGATTGTATGGGGACCCAATATATCAAAGATCACTGAAATCATGTTTGTTTCCTGTTTATAGGGGCACTCAGCACTTTTCCAGCTATATGACTGTGGACTGTAATTAATCAAGTCCGAACCAGACAATCCTGTGGTTTCTATTGTGGTAGCATTGATCTTAACAGTTGGCATAGGATGACATGCAACTGCTCACATTAGTCACCTCTTCAGACAAGCTCAAGATGCTGAAGACCAATTCTACCCCTATCTTCAAAGGTCCATTGAGTGAGTTGGATATTACATTGCTTTTAGCAATATTCCAGCAATCTCACAGCAGGGGACACCAGACACCTCTACACTCTGTACCCATGTAGGGAAAGGAACCCAGGCCTTCGGTATGAGTGAATCACTAACCTACCCCACTGTGCCTGTACTGACTGAAATACTTCAATCAGCTTTGAATCTGAAGTCATACCCCACAGATCTGGTCCAGAGAATTCAGCTGAATACACAGCTGTAAGGTCGGAAATGTATTTCAACGACAAATAGCAAAAAATACATAAAACAGCCTGAGATTTTTCTTGTTTTATTTACAGCATTTTCACTTGAGTTCTTTCACTGCAAGACCTGAAAAATAATTGAAATCATTAACTTCAATTCAGTGGAAGGCTACATCATTAAATATTTCAAATATTATTTCAGTTGCGACAAACAAATGTGCATGATGAACCCAACAATTCTGCTCATTTTCAAAGACAGAGGTACTTTTGGTATCGAAGAAAATAGGAATGAATTATCACAGTGAAACATGAAATTTTTCAAAGATGACCAATTTGAGAAAAATATTTGCCCAAGACAGCTTGTCATGGGGAATACTTCAATTGGAATCCTAGATAAATCCCCCTGAACCACACTTAATCACCATGGTCAATTGTCAGGTGAATTCACCATCCTCCCAAGCTAGAGGCGAGTCAGTTTAGTTTTACCAGTCCCTCCTGGATTCTGCGATTCCAGAATAAATCGCAGAAATTACATTTTGATGCAGAAAGACGTCTGGTCAGCGGAAAACACATTTTCATGCAGAATATCTAAAGAATTTGCCATTTTCTGCTGCGGATTTTACATATTTTGAATGATGAATCAAGATTGACTATCCTCCGAAACGTAACAATAATACAATACTATTTTTGAATCCGACATTGCAATTCTGTTCACAAAAATGATCTTTTTGAAGATTGAAATCTCATTATTTTGTTGTTTTTAGTTTTTTAACTACAGAAATTTGAAAAATGGGATGCAGAATTTACTTAAATTTGCCATGGAATTCTTAAAATATCGTCGCGGAATGCAGGAGGTACTGTTTTATGCTGCTTTTAACAATATTCAAGCAATATCATGGCAGGGAACACCAGAAATGGGCTTCACACATTGTACCCATGTAGGGAATTCATTCCCAACCGATGCAATGCCCTGTGACCATCACTACCATTCTCAACAACATCTCAGCAGCTTATAGGAAGTGTTAATGTGCGAGATGATCTAGTTACTCACCTGGTGGAAGGGACTGACGCAGTTTCTCAGCCTTTTCTCGGTCCTGGATGACAAGGGTGTACAGGTAACGACTGCATCGCACCTTGAATTTCACATTATCCTTGTTCTTCTTTATTTTGACAGCTGGAATGTGAAATTAAAGATACTAGATCCCTAAACTCAAGAAAAAAGAAAAGAGTTTGATCCAAATGACTTGACAATGTTTGCTAAATAGATATGCATGATGGGTATGTGCTGACAAACTATCTGGACAAATCAATTTTGAAACTATGACCTCTAAGTAACTGAGTGATGCCACTAAACAGCACTCAAGAAAATACATGGCAGCCATGGCGGTAGAATAGATTCTTAGACCACAAACTTCACTTATGGAAGTCCATTTGATAATTCTAAAATGTATTAAAAATGATGCAAAATGCTAAGCAGGCTTATAGTGAATGAGAATGGTTTTACACCGCTTTTAGCAATATTCCAGCAATATCACGGCTGGGGACACCAGAAATAGGCTTCACATATTGTACCCATGTGGGTCTTGAGGAGCAAACGCTTTAACCATTAGGCTACCCCACCACCCCCAGGCTTATAGATACAGAAGTTATTGGTAGTGATTGGGAAGAGATCTCGTATTTTACACTTATATGTTTTGAAGCACTATTTTTGCCTCTCTGATAGCACTGATTTCATTGCCTTGATACTCAATAGTATCTCCTCTCCTATGCATCTTAACCAAACCTCTTAACAGTATTCAAAATTAACCAAAGAGGGTTACTTCAGACACAATGCTGGTGAATTGAAATGCTGCTTTAAACGGCCTTTCAGTTATAGCAAAACGAGCCAGCTCAACATGATAAACTGAAAACATTTGTTAAAACAACAAGTGTTGAAAGTACTGAAAGACCAAGATCATAATCAGGGGCCAGGAATCATTTTGAACTGTGCACTGAGGGTGCATGAAAACAACAGGGGCCCTTGCACCATACATATTTATCCCATATGGTGAAATAAAACTTTACCCTCTTGGCTGTCATAAAAAATAAATTATTAACGTTAGTATAGGTGAGGTGAAATTCGGTTTAATGTCGTGCTTGAGAATATTTCGCTCATATGACGACGTGCATGCATGTGTATGTGCGGCTGCTTGTACTAGCCCAGACTTAAGCTGGTTTATAGTGCTAGCCCACTGAGATACCATGCCGCAGTGAAGCATGAATACCCCACACAGACACATTATACTGACTCCGAGCCGACCAGTCCTTGTTGTACCCATTAATGCAGAGCGCCAGGCAGGGACCAACAAGTACCATATTTTAACGTCTTTTGGAATGACGCGGTCGGGGATCGACCCGCGACCTTCCGCTCTCCGGGCGGACGCTCTAACCACTACACCACGGAGGCGGTCTTAACATTAGTATAACCATGTCTAAGTTGCTCTGATAACACAGGAAGTACAAACCACTCATTCAACAATTTCCTCACTCCTAAAGTTTGGTATGGATAAACAAGAATGCATTTCTACAGTAAATTGTGTCCCTCGAGCAAATTTATGTATGAATGAACATGTATTAGCAAACTGTCAATGAAAAATGTAAATCGAGTTAAAAAATCACTAGACATAATGATTTGCTATTTAATTTATATGTCCTGGGTCGCGATCCACAAAGCTCTTAACTCTAAAGTCTTAACTCCAGGGCTCCAGATAATTTTTCAACATCAGGAGTACGTACTCCTTTATTTTTGCCTTAAGAGTACATTTCAAGTATAATGGAATTTAATGCAGTATCCTTAATCTTGTGTTTCATTTCATATATGCACCACAATGGAATTTAATGCAGTATCAGTAATCTTGTGTTTCGTTTCATATATGCACCACAACATTGCTACTCTTGTGTAAATGGAGCAATAAACAATAAAATAATACGTTTTCAGATAAATACATCTGTAAATGATTCTGAGACTGTACACCACTGGTGTGGTGCGTATCCGCTACGTTTTCTAAATTATTTCCCACCGTATCATGCATATTTTTTAGCTGTACATATGTCGATACGGCCCTTATCTGGAGCCCTGTAACTCTATAGTTCACCAGTGGCCTACGAATGTGGTAGCGCTACGAATGCTTTGTGGATCGGGACCCTGTTCTAGGCATTTTTTATAAGCAGAGATTAAGATTGCTGTGTATATTTCCTCATAAACTAAGCCAAAAATAGCAATTAACTGTGCACTGACTTTCTGCAGCAAATGTTATAGGACCAAGAGACATCTGAAAAGACTCAAGACTACAGACTATCACAGGCATATATTACTTCACTGTCTGAACATGTACTTACATTTGGCATCTTTCCTCCTTGCTGTTAGGAGAAAGTCCTTGATTTCTGAAATCTGCTGAGGCTGAAAGTGAAGAAATTAATCAAATAAGTATAGAGCATGTACATCTAGAGCTTAGTTCTCTTTCATTATAGCAGGAGCACTAATGTTTGCTTCAGATTTTAAAACAATCTCTCACTTTATATCTCAGATAAGAGGTGTCAAGTTTTCATCATGTGCAAAATCATCTGAGCTTCTGGTATTAATGGTAACTAATATCAGCATCATATCCAAGAACTTAATCTGAGATACATTATTAGGGCTGGGACGATTCACCGCGATACATTTAAGTTTGATACAACTATCGTATCGTCGTCTGGTGTATCAATACAAAACGATACACCAGTTTTTTTCAAAACAGTATTTATCTTAAACATGTTAAACTACTTAACTAGAGAAAAATATGCAAGCATATATGATAGAGTTACTCGTTTGTTTACCACAATAGTGTTATTGTTATACAAAAACACCTTGAAATAAATCATTTTAAACCTTAATACTGTGTCATTCTTTCCAGGTGTATGCATCGTGATACTTACCTTAGGTAAAATATCGCAATATGTATCGTATCGTGACATAGTGTATCATCCCAGCCCTAAACATTATCAATCATTGTTGACATGAAAACTAAAGTCATCAGTTTCACATATTACATCTTTTGTTTCATTAACTATTAATGATTTTTAATGGAAAGAGAAAAATATTTTGCTCTCAGTTCATCAGTTTTCACAAAGAAATGTTACCCACACACTATAAGGGTGTATACATTTCCAAGAAAGAACACTCACCATCTTGCTTGCCTCTGGATCTGTAATGCAAGAATATACACAGAAATGAATACAGGAATACACACACATGGCAAGTTTGACAGCAATTACAGCTAAGTGGATAATCGAACCATATGCCTCCAATAGTTGAATTTTATATTCACAATCACTAAAATCAAATATTCAGGAATTTTTACTAGAATTTGGTTGTTGTTTGTCAAAAAAAGACATGCAAAATGGAATATATCCAGAGATGCCAACCCTGAATCAAATGAAAGCGGAGTCATGCCTTGCTAAAAGCAATTCCCGAGCCCTGAAGGTGCGAGTTGGGGTGAGCATGAGAGGGGCCCCTTTTGATGGTGGGGATCTGGGGCGCCTCCCCTATGAAAAATCTTTAGATGTAGCCTGGAAATATGAAATTTCTGGGCATACTTAACCAGATAATACTTAACTCAAAAGAACATATCTAAATGGCTATTTACTAAAATTCTTCCAAATATTCTAAATTTATAAACATATTTGTATTTTCTAAAAATATCAGATTTTTATAGACAAATCGGAAAGTGGATTTTGTAATTGTAAATCGGAGTAACTCCTCCAAAATCGGAGTGGTTGGCATCTCTGTATATCCAAGCTAAGCATGATATATCCAAGCCAGGCAGGATAATAATCAACATTCTTATACATGATATTTGACAGTAATGCTGTCACTGCCTAGATTCATGTCAACATGGTCAGGACATGCCAAAGAATGGGTATTTTATTGTTTCAATACACCAACTGCAGAATTGTATTAGTTACCTTGTTTAAAACAAAGGATCGGTATAGATGGTCAAAGTATCAATATCTTGAAAAAAAAACGAAGCTGAATTGCTAACATATTAAGACAAGATGGATAATTCCAATTTATTTCATGAACTGAAATTCATAAATAGAACAAAACAAGATGTTGGTGATACTGACTAACCATGCCGCCATCTTTCAGACCCAGATCTTGTTTACAGAAGTGTCGGAATGTGCATGCACTTCAGAGCACTTTAGGGAGGGAATTAAGAATTAACTTCTTATATTTAAAGATTTAAATAAAGATGGAAATACAGTAACATTTGTAAGATGATTTGCATATGTATAACATTAAACACATAAATATCACAAAAAAATATTTTGTGGTATGTATCATGGGAAAAAAATGAACCTCAATAAACTGTTATATCAATAGTACACTCTTTCATAGTATACTACATACAGGTTTGTTGAAAATGTGGCCTGATGCATTAACTTGAGAGTTTGATGTTTATGAATTACCTTCCAGGGATTGGGATAGAGAACTTTGACAATGGGTCATTTTCAGGATCATTAGCCATTTTCTGAATTTAGAATGGGCCACTGCCCTTGTATCAAAAGTGAACTTCAAAATTTTAGTGGTTCAATTTTTATTCTAATGTGCAAAATGGCCCATGGTCCCTGCCTTTCCCAATCCCTGCCTTCATATTCAATTTCAAGATTTATTCACATTACACTATACACAGGAAAGCTGAATGTTTTTTTCAGTGCTTTGCAGTCACCTGATGCTTGATTTAAATTAAATAATGTCTGACAGGTTTCCTGAGGCAAAATGATCAACACTTTATTTGGGTACAATAACATGCTATCAATGTATACAGATTGTATGATCAAATGCAATCATTGCTGTGGACTGTGATTTTACCCTTTCTTTCTTCATGCTCAAGGTTACAATGAATTATTCTAGCTGAATAACTGAAGCTCTAGCATGTTTTACGATGCCATCAAATTGTAACGGTTTCACTGGTGGTCTAGAGACACTACACGGCTCTCCTCTGGCACAATGTTGTCAATAACCAAAATATGATGTTTGCATCAGTTTAAAAGATAACAATCTCTCACTATATTTCAGATAAGAGGTGTCAAGTTTTCATCATGCACAAACATCAACAAGTAAAAAGGTAACATAGTCAAAATACAAGTGCATCTCCGGGAATTCGCACAAACGGAAGACTGGGGCCCATTGAATCATCCCCTGCCTCCCGAAGTTTAAATTCGGGCTTTTTAATTGAAAATATGGCCATATAAGAGAAACAGCCATACCACTTTGTGTATGTGGTAAAAGAGAACAATTATTTCATAGGATTTTCCATAAACAAATCTCAACCACATTTTCTTATTCCCCCGAAGGCAATCATCATAACACGTCTGCATTGACACGCAAATACTAAGTTACTGAAGCGTTATAGCAAAAATATAGCATCGCTCAATAACTTCATTATCAATGTTATATCCAAATAAGGTTGGCAAAATATAACATCGTAATCGTGGACAAAAGATGAAGGTGGATTTTATCAGCATGTAAACACACCTAGCAGAAGCAGCTATGGATTCCAGTAGAAAGGAAGTACAGTGGCGCCGCTGTCCAGAAGGGAAGACAACTCTTACCGTACTTCCAGTAAAATGAGAGCTCACCATTGATATAATTCAACGCGGTCAAAAGTTGCGTATGTCTTTTTCAAACCGCCGTCATAAAGCTGGGACATTGCTGAGTGCGGAACTAAAACCAATTTATTTTTTCAAAGCCATCAGGTGATTTCGCAAAACAAAGTTATCATTTATTCGTTGCTTTATTGCGTAAAAACAAATAAAATTACGTTCAAATTTTGAATCCGGCATGCGCTGTAATATCGTAGTGAAAGGTGTTATATGACTGAATCCGGTTTTGATTTCCAGTGAATAGAATGGATGTGTTGTTATAGACTCAAAAATGTAGCTGAGTCTAATCTCTACGAAAATCATGATTATAAATCCATATATTATGATCATTATCAATTCCAAATTAACTCGTTTCGCGCAATATCACGTGGTCAGAACTCTATGTGCTCGCTTATTCACACATCGGATGATAGGTTGCACCCATACTGTCCTGGGTACTTATACTATAATTTATTTAAGTTGAAGTTGTATTATTTGAATAATATGATAAACATACTTTTGGTATTTATCAGCAGTTGGATTAGGCCTAAAAAATTTAAATGGTGTATGCCATAGCAATAATGTTTCACGAGCTGATATTTTCCTTGATAAACGTAGGCTTCTATCTTATTATAAGGTTATGTTTCTCATGTTTCATTTTTTTCATTATTCTATTTAGCCTAAAGAAAGTGTACTTTACCTGATACAGAGTGACTTTTGCCCATCATGAGTGCTTTGTTAAATCATTTCTTAATGTGAATGTGTACCAAACGTCATTCATGAAATAGGTAATGTTAATAATACTTTTATTCAAAGACAAAGGTGCATAAATCATCGTTTTGATTAGAATGTGCACTTCAAGATCATGTCACATGATTGTGACTTCAATTAAATTTTTCTTGAGTAATACAGATGTGTACAGTAAATTCTATAACTCTTTAAATTATTTGAAATTCAACATCCTTTGCTGTTTAAAGAAGTTAAAGTGTATAAATAGTATGGGTGGGTCGATGGAGGACATGGTGTAAGCTAGTTTCAGTTGAATTTGTCATATATATGAAATGATTAATCATACATTTATCTGCGTTAACTTTCCTTTGGACAGCAGTTAAAATTAAAAGAAAGACTTGTTGAAAGTCTTTTATATAGTAAAGCGTAGGGCTAGTACTTTTTGGAGAGGACTAGTGACATACAAAATCCACTAGCCCGGAGGGCCAGTTAACATTTTTTGTGAGTGTCGATCCCCGCTGTTTTAAAATAAAAATATAAACAGAAGAATGTTCTGGATTTTCCATTTTTTCACTTTGAAAGAAGCTATACAATGCACAATGGTTACTCACATAAATTATATACTGTGATTCAATTTGAAGGTAAAAGAATACTACCAAGTGGACAGATCTCAATAACTGTTCTTTCACAATACATTGCAATACGTATCGCAATACAGAAGAGTGTATCGCAATATATCGCAATACGAAATTTGGGGCAATACACAGCCCTAGTTTTTGGTGATAGTGTTCCGTCATGTGGATAACAAAATGTTTAGAAAATTCAACATACCGCTAAACCGCTCGTATATCTAATACGGTAAAATTCATCTGAACAATAAGTACTATTACCGGACTACTAATTGCTATTACATGTAGAATAGTTCATCATTCGTTGTAAGTTAAGTCTTGGGGATTAAGGCCTTTCAATACTTAAATGTTGTAAACATGTATGTATATATATATTGTGGGGATGTGATATTACAAAAGAGTAGCTAAGCGCAATTTGTTTAGTTCGTTAATGTGGTGGCCTTAATATGTAAACAGTTTTCTTACAAATACTATCAATCCTCCGAACGCCATTGTGAGCTGGAAAACACGACTTATAGACGTTTCACAGGAATATACCCTCGTATGTATGACGTATCACGAATGCATTTAACTAAATAAAATCTGATCGTTCATATTTAAGAAAACATTTCCCATTATTCCGCATATGTGTTCTATGATGGAAGAAATCGATGAAATGGGGATCTGTTGAAGCCCCGGGCCCAGTGTGAGAATGTTGCCTTTCCCCAACCTGCAAGTTGCTATCAGACGCCGCATAATATCAAAATTATGCGATTAGCGGACATTGTTTACTTGAGTGTGACTGTGATTTGCAGTAATGCAATCGAAAAGACAGATGTTAGACAAATGTAGGGCACTGCAGTTTGTTGTCAACTGATAAGTAGCCTGCATACAAAAACAAATGAACAACCAAAGGGAGGTAACTGTCACCAAATACTATGTCGAATGCAAACCAAGTTTTTCCATAGTTCAGGCTTACTATTTTGCATATAAAAGCACAGTACACACCCTTTAGAGCAAGAGCATCACATGCTAATTTTTGTATTCCAGGAAATGGCATCTCAGTTCGGGGGAGCTAAGAACCCACCCTGGGCCAGACCAGCATCAGGTAATTCAGTTTGGGGAGTATTTCACTTTACTGGAATAACATTTAGGGATTAGTGGCATGCAAAGGATCAAACTAGCATTGCCAGTTTTAGAAGCTAAGCTAATGAGTTAATCTAATAAGCCTCCTGCTTTACGATCAAACATTGGGTACAATCTGGGATAGTGCTCATGTACCAAGTGATTGTTTTTTTTTATTCTTACTTTTGCCTGCAATATGTGAACATTTTAACGTATATGCTATCCCACTACCCCACTACCACTACTCTGGTTGATGTTTGCGATAGATCATAGTCATCAAAATTCATGTGAGCTATCACAGATATTGCGGAGTTGCCGGCTATTGTGATATTGACAAAATCATTGCAGTGTTGCACTATTTTAAATCAGATTTTGCCATAATGATGAAGTGATGTTTCTTGTCAATTAAAAATAAGTATTGCCATGAATTTGGTGATTGTTGCAACTTTTAATCAACCAGTTTTTATTTTTATACTTAATGATTGAATGCACTAAACTTATCAGAATGGCAAGTATCTTTTGTATTGAACATGTGAAGTAAAGAAATGTAGATACAGTACTACTAGTCAATCTGTGTCTTTTATCATGTTGTTCAGAACATTACCAGACTGTCCAGTTACCATGATAACATTAAATTTATAACCTGTTGGTTTGCCGAGACAACCAACAACAGTGCTGCTGCTCGAGAATTTGACATTAATGAGAAGCAAGTGAGGAACTGGAGAAAAGAAAAGGCACTATTAAATGAGATGCCTAAGAACAAGAAATCAAGGAGATATACTGTATCCCCCTTCATTGCTTGAAGATATCCTGGCTGAGTGGGTTTTGGAGAAAAGACAACTTGGCTTAATCTTCACGAGAAATATGATTCGCCATCGCGCATTGACCGTGTACAAGGCCAAGAAAGAAGAATTCAGTTTGCCTTCGTCATTTAAAGCGTCTTCAACATGGTGTTCACGTTTCATGAACAGGAGAAATCTGGTACTAAGGCAGAGGACACATATTGCCCAGAAACTTCCGGATCAGGTGGATACTAAGGTGGATTTATTCCACGCATTCGTGATTAAAGAACGGAAGGCGATCAACTACGATCCATCACAAATTGGAAACATGAACGAAACGCCGCTGAACTTTGATATGCCAGGCTCTAAGACCTTGGATGAGAAAGGATCAAAGACAATTTCTGTGAAAACGACTGGAAATGAAAAGCAACATCTTGGTAGTGCTGATATGTATGGCGGATGGCACCAAACTTAAACCAATGATAGTATTCAAAAAGAAAACAATGCCAAAGGACAGATTCCCGACCGGGGTTATTGTGGCCGTACATCCCAAGGGATGGATGGATGAGGCGTTGGTTAACAGATGGATCGAGGATGTGTGGTGTGCAAGACCAGGTAGCCTCAGAGGATGCAAGTCGCTCCTGGTATGGGACATGTTCCGGGCCCATTTGTGCGCGTCTGTTAAAAAGAGATTGGTAGACAATAAAACACACCAGGCCGTTATACCTGGCGGCTGCACGTCTCTCTTACAGCCACTAGACGTCTCACTCAACAAACCCTTTAAGATGAACATGCGCAAGAAGTGGGCTGAATGGATGGTGGATGGGGATCATACCTTCACAAAATCAAATGCTATGAGGAGAGCGCCTCTCCCTGAAGTTGCGAAATGGGTGAAGGAATCCTGGGATGAGATCCCAAAGGACATGGTTCAAAAATCATTCCTAAAGTGTGGCATCTCGAATGCAATTGATGGATCACAGGACGAGGCCCTATTTGAAGATTTTATCACCAATGATCCTAGAGCTGATGAAGATGACGTCCTTGGATGTGAAAACTTAGATGACTATTATGACGACAACACAGATGAATTGGCATGGCAGGCACTGGCTGGAGAAGACAGCGACACCGAGTTCGATGGATTCACAGCGGACGATATATAAATTACCGGTAGATGTGAATGTTTAATGAATGTACATATAATTTTCATCACTGTAGTCATTCTGTATTATTGTCGACTTATTGTGTAATATAGTGTTTACAAATTATTTTCATCACTGTATTCATTCTGTATTATTGTCGACTTATTGTGTAATATAGTGTTTTGAATGAAAAATGACTTCAGTTTTATTTACCGTGGGTACGTTTTCTCATGGGTTCATACCCATTTCTGGTGTCCCCCACCGTGATATTGCTGGAATATTGCTAAAAGCGGCGTTAAACTAAACTCAGTCAGTCAGTCATTGGTTCATATTTCTACATGCACCGACTTCACAAAATGGCGTCTTGTTGTTGATGCATACAAACAGTGATCGTTGGGATTATAAGAAAGAAAACAAACACGGGTTTCTAGAATAATGGTCAGTGTGATCTTTATTAGATACTATTTTCACCAAACATACTTACGTTTTACATCCAACTGCCAGATGTCTTGTGGTGTGAGCTGGCCATAGCGTGAGGTCGGCTGGTGTATGTTTTACAGTGAACGTTGGGATTATAAGAAAGAAAACAAACACAGGTTTCTAGAATAATGGTCAGTATAATCTTTATTAGATACTATTTTCACCAAACATACTTACGTTTTACATCCAACTGCCAGATGTCTTGTGGTGTGAGCTGGCCATAGCGTGGGGTCAGCTTGTGTACGTTTTACATCCGACTGCCAGATGTCTAGTGGTGTGAGTTGGCCGCGACTCATCCCGGGGGGTCGGCTTATGTACGAAACATACCGGGATTTTCCGGAAAGCCGCCCAGGGCTGTAAAATGGAAAATTTTGGGGGGAAAATGGACCATATAACTGCCCGGGCGATAGTTCAGAAATAAAATAATTCAATAGTCGGGAACTAAAATCAAGTTTCATCCCGATTAGATATCGTGTAGATGCACGCAAAATGTTGCCAAAATGAAATCTTCGCAATTCAACATGCAGTAGTCATAGCAAAGTAACGATGTTTCGTGGAAATTATTAAATAAATTGAATAAACTAATGAATAAAATCAACAACAGCATTCATGAAAGTTGTCAAACGTACATATAAAATTACTATTTCCATCTTTTTTGTGCGATCATGTAATGTAAATCAAGTCACTGACATCTCGGCTCTCGCCGCCACAATCTTCACGCTCGGAAACAATGTTTAATGCGAAAATATATGCATGAAGCATTTTGGTCACAGGTCATAACCTAGCACGATACGTCCAATAAGTTCCATAATTTACGTATAGGTAGCGATTTCTTGCTCGATATGTTCAGAATGGCTTTATTTTCCCCAAAACTTTCGGCTACATCTAAATGTTTTCGTTTACGAGGACGGTATCCATTGCCGTAATATGATTGGCTGCCTTAGGTCATGGGTCTGATTTTGACCAATCACGACCCTTATAGCAGACTGTGGCGAAAAAGCGTCATTAGAAACCAATCTTTATCCAATAAAATCGCTTCTTACAACTGTGAAAATACTCCTGACAAGGGTATAGTGATATTGTTGATGTTCAGAGCTTTCGAACGATACCCGACATCAAACGATTCGCTTCGCATGTTTTTCATACGAAGCTTCCAAAATGGGGGTATTGACTGTTGTTGTGTCATGTTACCGAGTAGATATCGGGAAATAGGCGACCATACATATTATTTAAAAAATCTTTATATATAATAAATTTCAGATTACGTAAAAATGAAAATATAAAGGAAAAAGGCACGGGCATGTTACGACATGTCACAAATGGAAAAGAATCGCCATAGCTTTTGCTTCTTTCGTGGTGTATCTGGACATTATAAATGTAAGCTTGCTTTTTCACATAAATAACGAAGTTTACTGTGAATTTTATTTCTAAATAGCAGTAATGAAAAAGAAGTTTTAACCCCATATAATCGCCCACCTAAAATAAACGCACATGGGCGATTTATTGAGTGGGCGGCTTTCCGGAAAATCCCGGTACCATTTTGACACTCATTTCAAGGGTCAAGCTAGGGGGTCGGCTTATCTATGGGGTCGGCTTATCTCCGGTAATATACGGTAATTATGTGGCAGTGTGGCAGTTGTGAAAATCGAAGACAATGGCCTGTCAGTGTCACTGACACAACTTATCACTGCTGGTGTTCAGTATAAAGTTAATCTGACGAAGGAGCAAGGAAAAGTCCAGAATCATGTATACAATAAAGAAGTGAACATCCATAATATTTTGTCTTATAGTTGATCTCTGGTTTTGAACTCATGGCTAACAGAACTGATTCACGAGGTTCCAGCACCCCAGCCCCTCTCCAGCACCCTACCCCCTCCTTCAGCACTCCCACCCCTTCCTCCAGCACCCTACCCCGTCTCCAGCACTATGCCCGCTCCTCCAGCACCCTACCCCCCTCTCCAGCACACCACCCCTATAGAGTTTTCACCCCCCTCCCGAATTACAGGGAATTTCCATTTGATGATAAACTTCGATGGACTTTTAAATGGCTCTAGAGAACTTCTGAATGTGATGAACAACATTCACTAACAATCTCAGCTGATAGACCGCCTTAATGTTAGCTCACAGAGTGCTCCCCAGAGCGCAGGTCGGTTCGTCTCCTGTTGCAACACATGAAAATGTTAAAAGATGATACTTGACAGTTCTTTACCCTGCCAAGCAGGGTTTAAAGATGGACATGTTGGCTTGGGCTCAGTACACTGCATTTCAGTAGGGTTTCCACGTTAATCAGCTTCATGGAATCTCAATATACATGCCTGTGGTGTTATGATGATAAAAAATAATCGGAAATCGATCGACAGAAGGATTAAAAATAATTATCGATTGTAAAAAACATATTTTCGATTGATCAGAATTTTGTTGTTTTAGTATAACACACTTGAATGAAGTAAACTAACCATTAAATTTAATGAATATGCACGCACAAACATGCTCTTGACAGCATAAAGCTATGCACATTGTACATTTTTTACCACTTTTATCGTTTGATAACAATTCCAATGTCTTTCTTGCATGCGTGCATTTCATTGCATGACAGTATCAGTTATAAAAAACATTAATTAGAAAAAACCTGTGGAAAAACCATTAAAATTGGTGATTACATTAAAAATGTATATATTTTGATTATAATAGATAATCATTCACAACAAGTCCTCCGATAATTGATAGTGGATTTGGTTTATGATTCCCAACACTAGTACATCAGCATAAAACTGACATCTCAGGTCTTAAATACAACCAGCTAGACACACATGAATGTACGTTGCCAGAAAGGTGAAGTTACCTTAATGCAACAGATATTAGTGGTTGACCAGTATTAAGAGCCTTGACATGTTTTTCCATACTTTGCTGTAAATTTACAAACATGTTAAGAAAGCTGTGTTAAAAAATGCCGAGCACAGTCGATAGTTTTGTTCTGATTTTTCAGTTGGCCCAGAGTACATGTCACCTGCAACAGGTCCCACCACCGTCACCCCAACATCTCTAGCTCAGGCCCAGAATGCACTACTGAATGCTGGCTCAGTGACAGCAACACCTGTGTACAACCTCGGTACACCAGGTGGTGGAATCTCACAGCCACAGTACAATGCACAAATGGCAGCACTACAGGCTCAGGTAATTCTAATTAGTGAGAAGAAGAATTTTTCAGTGAACACTGTACAAGTGTACTTGATGTGAAATGAATGCATACCTAAGAATTTTTCCAGGATTCCAAAGGAAGAACCCTTGGTAATTTAGGAATGATGTTCCCAAATTATAATTCCTAGTTTATGTTATATACCCAACTTTATGACTTTGTCCTGGCCACTTACTTTACACCTACACATATCTGACATTGTAGCTAAAATGGATAGAATTATCATTAAAACGCCCACATGTTATCAGAAATGAGCGGGACACTGTAACTTGATAACGTCCCCAAATTGCTTGATGACAGGCCATTATCACACCTGTTGTTAGGTGATGTCATAAGGAGCTCAGCTCTTGATGTTCAATCACCTATGGCTGGTTTGAACTTGGGTTCAATGTTGATGATATTTCTGACTCACATTTGTCACATGTACCTGTTTCCAGTTCCAGTGCCATTATGCACTCTCTTGCCAGTGCCAACCTTAACAATTATATCATAAATTACAACATGCAGTAATGAAAAACATTGAGTGGAACTCTAACGTTGTTGAGCATTGAAAAAAATGGCAGCTGGTAGTATGGGCAAAGGCGTTTCCATAATTGTGAAAAGTGGGTCAGTGACCTCTATCGTTTGTTGTTAGCAGTGAAAGCTTCAAATTCAATACAGTTGTTTGGTTTTTATTTTAGTAAAAAATCAATGCATTTTAGCTATAATAGCGGTAACACTATTTTTCAGGGCATTATCATTTGCAGAAGCCCTCGGTCTTAAAGAAAGACCTTGGGCTTCTGCAAATGATAATTTCCTGAAAAATAACGTTACCCTTATAAGTTATGTTTACTGCAGACTTGGGGTTGACGGTTGGCCTGTGAGGATGCCTAGATAAATCTGTGGTACCTATTTTAAGATTCTTTTCTGTTTTGACATTTTTGTAACTCATACTTCATAAACTATGAGTAGGCACACTTCAGCCTGAAGTGTCAATACCATAAATGATAGTGTTTAGTGTTTTTAGTTATTTATTGATTCATCATTCTTCTTCAGCAACAATTACAGCAGGCTGCTGCTTCAGCTGCAGCAGCAGCTGTACTACCCCAGCCAGGCATTGCCATTCCGACCACCTTAGCTACCTCCCAAGTAGCTACAGTCAGCTACCCACCACCACGCATCACACAGCCACAGTCGCCCAAACAGAGAGTCTTCACAGGAACAGTCACAAAACTACATGACAACTTCGGATTTGTAGATGATGATGTCTTTTTTCAGACTACGTAAGTGGACTATAACAAGTTTAATTGTGATCGGGTTGAAAGAACTTGTTTTAAAGTTGCTAAATTCTCTTTGAAAAGAAATGTTCCTTTATTTAGTGATAGCACTTGAAAGTGAATGAGACTTCTATGGTCATTGATCATAAACTTAGTTTTATTGTAGTTGTGAAAAAACATTGTATTACTACAGTATTTTTCGTGAGTTATATGCTTATATTTTTCCTTATCCTGACTCATGCTAAATGCTTGTCTCCTTCTCCTTGCGAATGATAGTGGACCACTTGAAATCCCTTGAAGTTCCCTTCTATAAAGCAGACGTAAAGTCACCACTCACCCATGAGTTATCTCTCTTGCCCCTTTGGCGTCCTTTTGTTCACCTGACCGGCCATGTTTTGTCACTCTCTCCTTCTTCGCCTTTGAGGACGGTTGTGAGAGCACCTGGGTCCCTATACGGCACATATCCGTTTCTATTTTGGACCTTACATCAAAATTATTGCTGTATACTGCTTTTAGGATTGTATTCTACTATATGGTTTGAAATTTGATCTAAATTATACGTTGTTTGACATGTTTTTCATTGTCATTACATTTGATGAAAACTTGTGTTCGTTGTAGGTACCGCTTGTCTGCGGCTGAACCACATTTATTATGTCCTGATTGCACTACTTCATGTTCTTTCAGCTCTCGCTGTAAACATTGTCTGGATTTAACCACTTTTGAATTTAATAACTACCTTTATTCCATTCATACACGTGCAAAGGACTGGGTAAGAAGGTATTCACAAGTCACGTCTAAATCGAGTGATTGCGCTGATAACCGTGTGTTAAGTACTGCTGCCGATGTTCATAATTCCAGTGAATTGCCGAGCGTTTTACAGGGGCAGGTCGCTGTGCCAGTGATGAACCCTGGAACTAATAAGAGATCATTGTCAATGGAGCTGACCTCTTCGCAGACGAAGAAGACTAGATCTTCAACGCAGAAGAAGAAGGCTACTACCCCTAAGACTTCGTCGAAGTCTCTACACAGCTCTACGCAGAAGACGAGATCCTTTTCTGCCGAGATTGTACCTCCGGAAGAAGCAGACATGTATGATGATCCCCCCCATCGTCATACCTGAAGTCACAGTCGTCAGCAAGAAGACGAAGCCAGCTTCTACAGCTACATCGGCAACTTTATCAGCGCAGACATAGACAGAAGACCTTCTGTCGACGCAGACATGGGTTACCAGAGATAGTATCAGCGTCAACTCTTCACAAGTGCAGCGTGCCTTAGAAGACGCCACATCGTTGTCAGAAGCATCATCATCCCTGCAGCGGTCTCTTCAGACATCGCAGAACTTCAACCCGGGACTGTTCATGCAACAGTTACAGACCAGATGATGTCGATGATTGAATGTCGCTTCATGCAGGAGAAAGCTGCTACGAAGACCACTACGATGACTACTAGCCTGCGTGAAGATTCAACAGTCTCTCCAACGCAATTGGAAGAAGAGGGAAGCCTGCGTGAAGGCTCACGCATCCGACGATCTTCCCCATCTGAAGTAGGTGCCTGGACAACGCTACCAACGTCAGCTCAGCCTTAGACATCCCTGAAGGAACCGCTAAGGATCCTCCACGCAGAAGCAGGTTGAAGCGTTCTCCCAAACCCTACAGACGTTGTAGATACGGGTCGTCATCCCCATCTGACTCAGATGCACATCGGGAACCTGCGCGCAGACACTCAACATCTTACAGAGGGGAGACTACGTCTAAGAATCAACCTTCACGAAGGACTATAGAAAGACACCAGGAAGGATACACGATCACATCAGGATTGTTCACCTGCGCGCAGTTCGTCATATAGATCTTCACACAGAGACTCACGTTGTCGTGGATTGTCAGTGCGGGATATGTCTAAATCAGAGGAAGAAGGTGAAATCATATTCTCCGATACAGAAGTAACCTCATGGATTGCTAATGGCCTGGACCTAGCATCACCTTCCAAGGACACAGACAAAGCGTTTACATACAAGATGTCCAACGATAATTTCGACACACTCACCTTTCCGCCTATCGTCCCGATCTCCCAAGTACCGGACAGCCTCCCGCAATAGGAATAACAAGATAGATAACAAGAAGTTAGCACAACTGGATACGACTACTAGACGTATCTTCTTCGGACTAGCCAGATCTAGGGCTATCAACGAAGCACTCATCTCGAAGTTCAAGAACTCCACCGACGAAGATGACCGGATGATATATTCTGCGCTACTGACTCAGAAAAAGGACCACCAATTTATGTCGGAGCATCTAGCATCCACATCAGTGGGCCTGACTCTCCTGAGGAGACAAGGATTATTGTCAGCGTGCACCTGGAGTGAGCGGTTCACCAAGTCCTTATACAGAGCCCCATGGTCAGCATCATCCATCTTCGGAGGAGGGATTGAAGAAGTCGCCAAAGAGGTTACACACAAATCAAGGGAGGTCATGATGATTAAGTCCATAGATACTTTGGCAAATGTGATTCGCCAGACGTCCCAGCTCTACTCCAACAAATCCAAGTTTGCAGGAGTCCAGAGAGCCAGAGAAAAGAAGTATTCCAGCTCAAGAGGAGGAAGAGGTTCTTTTCGTCGCCCAACCGGAGTCCCCAGAAGTAACCCTGAAGAGGCCGAGCACCCAGGGGTGCCAGGGGAACCAAGCGCTGAAGGACAGGTTTGGAACAACTGGAGTCTTCCACCCCCAGTTGTTCCTGTACAACCTTCGACAGTGGGTGGACGTCTTCAACGGTACTGGGAGAATTGGGGAATACTACAGGAAGACTACATATCCCAGATACTACACAGAGGGTACAATATACAGTTGGAAACAACCCCGCCGCTTACAAGCAACCTGATGGCCTTCAGATACGCAGCCGACCAGACAGAGAAACTAGACGACGCAATCAAGACTCTACTCGACAAAGATGCAGTAGAAGAGATAAATCAAGATCTCATCACGCCCGGTTTTTACTTCCTTGTACCGAAGAAGAATTCCAAGGAGAAGTTTCGGCTCATCTACAACATGAGAAAGTTCAACCAGGAGTACCTTCGCAGACCAGCAAAATTCAAGATGATACATCTTCCTCAGCTCCGACATCTCGTTCATCCGTCAGACTACCTCGCCAGCATAGATCTACAAGATACGTACCTACACATCCAGACTCAAGGAAATACCTAAGATTCCTTTTCAACAGACATCACTTCCAGTGGAAGGTTCTACCGTTTGGAATATCGTCGGCCCCCTGGTTGTTTACTCGAGTGACCAAGCCCATCGTCACATATCTACATCGTCGAGGTCTACGCAGTGCTTTTTACCTGGACAATTGAATTCAAGTTCATCAAGATCCCACTCAACTCAGACTGCAACTAGACTTCACCATCAGGCTTCTCACTCAGTTAGGATGGCTAGTAAATCTCCAAGTCGGAACTGGAGCCGAAACAGGATCTTCAATTTCTAGGAAAACGACTCATCACGCCAGTGAATCGCATAGTCGTCCAAGAGGATCGCTGGGTCAAGATACCACATATGATACGTCAAGCAATGCTCGCAGAGGGAGACTACAACTGCATCCACTGCAAATATTTGTGAACGCCCATCTCAACAGTCTGGATCCGCTGATTCTACCGGACAGCCTGAAACCATACCTCCTATGGTGGACTCAGAAGTCGAATGTTTGCGGAGGAACCTTTTTGTCAGAGCCGGTTTGCAACACTCATCTCTACGTAGATTCATCGCTACAAGGATGGGGTGGCAGCAGGGAAGTGGTCGAGTCAGGATCAGAGTCTGCACATCAACCTGTTGGAGATGAAAGCAGTGATCAACGCTTTACAACACTGGTCCAGCGTACTAAAGAACGCAAGGCTCATGGTCCACACGGAAAACTCCACAGTAGCGTTCTACATCAACAAACAAGGATCAAATAGATCAACAAGTCTGCTACAACTCAGCTTTATCCTGTTCAGCATCATCGACGACCTGAACATCTACATGAAGGCATGCCACATTCCAGGAGCAAAGAATGTCATAGCAGACGCCCAATCTCGTCCACTACAACCATCCCTGACGGAATGGATATTACACCCATAAGCGTTCCTGTTCGTCATACAGACAATAGGATCTCCGCTGATAGACCTGTTTGCAACAAAGTTCAACAAACAACTACCAACATTCGTCTCACCGATTCCGGATCCTCAGGCATGGGCAACAGACGCTTTAAGCATCTCATGGGAAGGACTAAACGCTTACACGTTTCCGCCTCCAGCACTACTACCACAAGTAATACAGAAAATCAAGCAGACGACAACGCTGCAACTGATTTTGGTCACGCCCTATTGGCTAGCGAGGGTATGGTTTCACGTCCTCATACAAGAACTCAAAAGTCCAACCCTGAAACTACCAGAGTGGTCGAACCTGCTCGTCTATCCACAAACCAAACAAGCTCACTGGAATCCGGCATTGTTCCAGCTACACGCGTGGAGCATATCAAAGCTTGCCTGAAGACTAGAGGGTACTCCGCCAGAGCAGAGAAAGCAGTGACACTAGCTCTATGCAGATCAACTCGCAACTTGTACAACGACAAGTGTCAGAGGTTTGAACAGTATGCAACGAGGAATGGCTTTACAGCGGTAAAAGCAACCCATCCTCAAGTGGCGGAATATCTGTGTTATTTGCAACAGACGAGACACTTAAAAGGTTCAACACTCTCAACATACCTGGCTGCTCTCAGCACAGTTATCACCATGAAGACGGGTGTCAAGCTGAACAAAGTACCAGAAATACTGGCACTACTATGCTTGTTCAAGTTGGAAGACCAACAAAAGAAGTTCAAGGCTCCTGCCTGGGATCTCAACATAGTTCTACAACATCTCACCAGTGATGCCTACGTAACTACTGACACAGAAAACGCTGTTCCTGATCTCCCTAGCAACAGCAGCACGGATGTCAGAAATACATGCTCTGGACTTTGAAAGAACATGATTTGAATCAAGACATCGTGACATCATACATCTAGGACTGAGATGGGACTTTATTGCCAAGAACCAACTGCCCGGCCAGCCTGACAGACAGTTCCACATCCCAGCACTCTCTACAGTCCTTGGGCCACAGGATACACAGGATCTATCCTTATGCCCTGTCAGAGCACTAAAAGTCTACCTACAAAGAACAAAAACAAGGAGACGAAAATTCAAGCGCCTATTTATCCCCTTATCCACTGAGACGCCTACAGAAGTCTCACGGACAACTATATCGATATGGATGAGAGCCGTTTTACTAAGGGCCTACAAGGCAGCAGGACTTGAGCCTCCAATCCCAACGAAGTCAGAGCCCTGGTGTCTGTACTTGCTCTGCATGGAAACTGCTCGATTACAACAATAATGGAGGGCTGCTATTGGAAATCGGACACAGTGTTTGCCAACCACTACCTCAGAGACATTGCCACCGAAGACGTCTCAGGCATTTACCCTGTTTGGGCTACTTGTTGTAGCACAACAACTAACGGTTCCACAAAGGCGCTGAGAAAACTCTCACCCTTTTATCATGTGACTTGTGAAAACCAACGCTCTGGAGAGCAAATGGTTAAAGTCCATGCACACGTCTAGGACAGGCTAGCATGAGTGATAGACCCTGGACTTGTATAGGACATACACGTACATAAAGACGGGTCGCATCTCCACTTGATGCGGACATCAAGAGATGGAGTTGTAATGGATAACTAATGGAACATTAGTATATCTAAAAATCCACATGAAAATGTCTGGAGAAGTTTCGGAAGAAATCTGACAAGTTGTGGTTCCCCCCAGACTCATCAGAGGAAGTTGAAAGAACAGAATCATCAGCAGTGCCGTCATAAGTTCCCATGGGGGGTAATACAGGACGTAAATTAACAGCCAGAGAATCCAGAAGTGGCCTGACCCACCACCGATTCCGACGGATTCTGCAAGCATTTAGCATGAGTCAGGATAAGTATAAAATATCAATTTTACTCAGAAAATTACATAATTTTCTGACTAAAATTGATATTTTATACTTATCCTGACTCATGAGGTCAGCCCTCCCAACCTCCCCTCTTATGGCACTCTGGATTTCCCTGGAAATCCCAGTGTCAGGCATACATACGGAGAGAGTGACAACTCATGGCCGGTCAGGTGAGATAACTCATGGGTGAGTGGTGATTTTACGTCCGCTTTTTAGAAGGGAACTTCAAGGGATTTCAAGTGTTCCACTATCATTCGCAAGGAAATGGACACAAGCATTTAGCATGAGCCAGGATAAGTATAAAAATATCAATTTTAGTCAGAAAATTACATATTTATTTGTGAAGCATAAACTATTTTGCACACTTTATTTCTGCAAACAACTCATTCAATTAATTTTATTTGCAAAGGCAAGAAGATTTATATATAGTGTTTAATTTTCAAATATATCGTTTGTAATGTTGTTTGATAAGTTAACACTTTATTTGTTCTACAGTTGTGTCAAAGGAAGCCTGCCAAAAGTAGGGTCAAGAGTTCTAGTGGAAGCCACATATAATGCCAACATGCCCTTCAAGTGGAATGCAACCAGAATACAGGTCCTGGCTAATCAGGTGAAAGTTTGTTCTTATTTTTAATGTAAAAGTTTTCATCTGTGATCTGCTGAATGTTATATGGAAGCAACTAGCTAGTAGAATATGACGATACATGAATTATCTGAACAATGTTGGCTCTTGGAGGGAATCAAATGTAAACAGCAGATTCAGCAGGCTATAAAATAGTAGTGAGGCAGAAATAGAAACCAGGCTCTTGAGAATTTCCAGGGCTGTGGTCTTGCTCCACACTGAGGCTCATATAGCAGGGGTTGGCGATAATACCGGTTAACCGGTATATTGCAATTCGAACTTCACAATACGATATATTGCAGTACATTTTTCGCGAACCGGTTCACCCGATACAATCGGCAATTTCCGTGACGATGATTGGTAATTTTCATGATGTGGTAAAAAAATACTAATAACAATTGTATTTCCTTTATATTATTATTCATAAATAGTTTTGAGAATGTTTATTGATCATATAGTTGCATTTGCATGACATTTAAACCATATAATAAAGAAATAGATTGGTACCAGCATTCATTGTATTGATAAACAAACCAAAATGGCTGAAGCTGCTGTAGATGATTTTTCTCGAGTTTTAGAGCGAAGATTTAATTTGGAAACATTTTGAATTGACCTCTTGTAAAATCAAATCGGAGTCCTGACAGTGGAAAGAGGCATTGTTTCAAAAGAAAGGAAACAGTAATTTCATTACCTTAAACCATGTGTTACACTGTCACAATATATTTCAATGCATATTGCAATACGCCAATACATATCATAATATATCGCAATATGAAAATGTTGGCCACACCCAACACTAACATATATAGTATGACCAGAAATTATTGAGAATTTTAGGAATATGTTTAATTGGATTTCTAGTATAAACAACGTTGACCAGCTATCAAGTGCTTGGTTTCATTCAAGAGAGACAACTCATTTAGTTTGTGAAGAGTTATTCGCCTTTGTTTACTTGGTAGCAGACATATTCAGTGATCCTCAGTATGGATGATTTAGAGAAGGGGAAGTTGATTTTAGAGTATTATAACAAGGACATCAGATCAGCTAAAGTGATTTCAAATAGAACAGGCATCCCTTTGTCCACTGTTTATCGTGTTTTGAAAAATATTGCAAATGGATATGGCATTGAGCACCAGGGAGGTGCAGGTAGACCCAGAAAATTGACTGTCGGCTGACAGGAGGTGGCTTGTTATTCTTGTTTCTAAAAACAAACGAAGGAGTTTAGAAAACTTAAGGCTGGATATGATTGATAGAGGAACTGTGGCTGTCTGTAAGGAGACAATTAGAACTGAGCTGCATGCAATGGGTTGGCAGAAAAGTCGAGGAATTCCATCACCGATCATGAAACCTGAACAAAAGGAGCGAAGGTTGAACTGGTGCTTACAGCATAGAAATTTTAACTGGGACAATGTGATTTTCTCAGATGAAAGTTCTGTGTAGCTGTTTCCTAATACACTGAAATTCTGGACCAAACAAACTGAAAAACCTTTGTATCAGCGGCCAAAGTACAGTCTGAAATTTAACTTGTGGGATGGCATATCTGTGTTAGGGGCAACGCCCTCTGTGTATTTGAAGGGAATCTGAACAGTGAGCGGTATACAGATAATCTCGAGGGACATTTACTTCCATCTGCTCACATGTTCTATGGACATTTTTTGATTTTCCAGCAGGACAACGACCAAAGCATCGTTCAAAGCATTCACAGGCCTGATTTCAGATCCAAAATATGACATTATTAGATCGGCCAAGCTATAGCCCTGACCTAAATCCAATAAAAAATGTTTGGGGACTTATGAAGGAAAGTGTCAATAAGAAAAATCTGACAAATATTGCTGAAATGAAAGAAGAAGGTGGTCCGGTGGACCACGACTTTCTAACTTCTTTGATCAGTAGTATACCCCGCCGCATTGAAGCCTGCATTGCTGCCCATGGTGACTTGACAAAATACTAACTGTTCACCTGTCTTTGAATCTGGAGTTATGTTCTGCTAATATTCACATTTAATACGTAAGTAATGAGTGAAAAAATATATAAAAATTACAATCTTTAAATTCTCAATAATTTCTGGTTGTACTGTAGTACATGTCGTCTCGTATTACCTTGGTTCGAAATATACATCAGTCATAAAGCAGCAAATGGGAACCTGGCCTGGTGTGACGAAGGCTTACTTTCTCATGCCTGACAGGCAGCATGGTTCATATACTCCCCAGGAAGCAGAAAATTAAAAATCAAGAGAACAATATTCCTCTGACTGTGTTAACTTTGTTGAGCATTCTTCAGGGTGTGGATTTGGAGCATGATAAATATGCATAGTATTATTGTTACTGCACAATTTAAAAATTATTAGATACAGGTAACAATTTTTATGGTGAACATACTTACAACAGACTGATGGATAAAACTATCTGGGATTTCGCTTGTTACTTTTGTCAAAGTGTGTAAACAAACTATGGTTATAACAAAATATAGTTTGTGACCCTTGAGTGTGTTTTAACCAATCTGTACTGTATTTATTAGAAATAGAAATTGATTTGTGCACACATTCAATTCAAATGCACACATAATCTTGTTTGTAGAAGCAGAAGATGCTCTTTTATCACCATGACAACAAGACCCTACTCAATCATGTTGGTAATAATAATTGTTTTCCATTTCTAGGGAGCACCAAATATCCCAACAGGACTTAAGGGTGCACCTCAGCTGACAATCGGAGCAGGTTTAAACCCCCCGGGTGTGAGTATCCCACAGCCCGTGCCTCCAGTTGGCAGCATGAATCCAATGACTGGGAACCAGATCATCACACAGTCTATAGCAGGACCAGTCCTATCACAGCAGCCACCCCCTCTCATGGCACAGAACCCACAGCCATCTCTAGGTACTGATCACTTCTATATTGTACTTCCACCAGTAGACTTTCAGGAGGAGCTGAACAATCTGAACATCTATTTGGAGCCTTTAATGGCTGTTTCACTATGGCAGTAACCTCAAAATGGTATAGGGCTGTGGGGTAGCCTAGTGGTTAAAGTGTTCGCTCGTCACGCCGAAGACCTGGGTTCGATTCCCCACATGGGTAAAATGTGTGAAGCCCATTTCTGGTGTTCCCCGCCTTAATATTGCTGGAATATTGCTAAAAGTGGTGTAAAACTCTACTCACTCACTCACTCACTCACTCAAAATGGTATGTGTATTTTCAAACATTATTAGTAACTTTTGAAGTTAAAGGTGATATGCATCGTAAAACACAACTTTGCAGATTCTGATACCTTTCAGTATGGACTTACCAAAACAAATCATCAAAAATGCAAATTCAACTTATAAAGTTGAAAAATAACCCGATGAAAAAACCCGCACGAAATCGGCGTTCAAACGATTCACTAATTTTCCCCAAGCGCTTGGGGGAAAAGTGGTTTCTTCAGCTGGGCTGCGCTGCGCTCATAGCACATGCGCAGTGAAATAGGTTCGCACAGCTTGTAAGCGGGTTGTCCGGTGAATACTCGGTGAAGGCTTTGGTGTGAGCTAATTTTCTAATGTTTTGTTGATATTTCACAGGCGCGAGCTTTTTATATGTTATGATAGTAGATTAACGATTTAACTGTTTATATAATTTCATTTGTCTATTTCACCACACGTTCTTTTTACCAAGTCACTTTCTCAGTTCAATACTTAAAAGCAATGTCATTATTTAGCGTTGACAGAATTTCTAACTGTGATATAGATATGTCGTTGTCACAGACTCAATGTCTTGTTTTATTGACACCTATGTGTCTGCCTGCCTGTCTGCTAATGACAATATTCAATACAAAACTTCAATCACTGACCACATGCAATTTGAACTTAACACCTATCAGGCTATACACCATAAACAAAAGGCATTGATTTATGGCCCGAGTTCGGTCTCTGTCACATTATGTAATTACACAGACAGGCAGATGTGATAGTTGTACACATGACATGTTATGATGTCTGTTGATTGCGAAATGTTATCCACAAAAAATGAGCATGTATTTACAAAACCCAACATCTCTATATACACACACACAATGAGCCGTGAGGGCATCTGCAGATGAACCAGCCGTTACACTTGAGTGCACACCCACCCGCTCTGACTGGGTTCGGTATCCCGGCTGCTTCGTTTCTTGGGAAGTAAACCCAAGTACAAAATATTGCACTTTTGATTTGCGATTGTACGCTTATAATTTTGTTTATATTATATGTTTTTCCATAATCAGTAATGTATATTATATGTCATGAATAAGTGATAATTGTGTTTTAATTATGTTTGATTTTTTGGTTGCATGTGACCTTTAAGCGTTTAGCTCGAAGCGGGGGATATAGTATTAGGCTCCCGTCCTTCCGTATGTATGTACGTACGAATTAGAATATCTTAAAATCCACTAGATTCTTTTCATATTTGGTATCAAGGTTTATCACAGTATAAGAAAGGTCCCAGTCAGGTTTGGTGACCTTGACCTTCAATTCAAGGTCACAAGGTGATTTTGACGTTTTACTCTTGTCAGTGAGATATGTCAAGAACCGTTCAGTAGATTTTCTTCATATTCAACACCAAGCTTTATCTAGAGAAGGCGCAGGGACCAGTCGATTTTGGTGACCTTCACATAATTTTCAAGGTCATGGCGACACTTTTAAGATTTCAGCATATTAACCTGCATGTTATGCTTGTCAGCGAGATACCTCAAGAACCATTCACAGGATTTTCTTCATATGTTATGCCAAGCTTCATCCAGGGATGGCACAGGGCCCAGTCGGTTTTGGTGACCTTTACTTAATTTTCAAGGTCACAGCAACACTTTGAAGATTTCAGTATGCTAACCTGCATGTTAAGATAGTCAGCGAGATATCTCAAGAACCTTTCACTGGACTTTCCATATATTTGACACCAAGCTTCATCTGGGGAAAGTGCAAGGCCCAGTCGATTTTGGTGACCTTCACATAAGTTTCCAGGTCACTGCGACACTTTGAAGATTTCAGCATGTTAACCTGAATTCACTGGATTTTCTTCATAGACTTTTTAAGACTTCTCTTGAATGTTTTTCAATAAGCAATTTCTTTAGTACCACTTTTGCATTTTTCATATACTATGACATTCATGTCAAGGTCAAAGTCAGTCTTGAAAATATTTGTGTGTTTGAACAACTAAAGAGCAAGATATCAAGAGAGGTTGATTGGTCATGTTTTTGTTGACATTTAACTTCATCTTAAACTTTCATTACTTTTTAAGTTTGATTTGATAATTTGCGGCGGGGGATTATGTCACCTTAGTGACAATGCTTGTGATACTCTGTACTGAAAATGATAGAAGGTATTGTGAATCTTCATTCTGTGCATACCATACTGCTGCTTGTATCGGATAAAGTATACTGTGTATCAAGTGTAATATACTGCATATCACATGCTGCATACAGTCAGTCATAGACACCACTAGATCAATGCTTATCCTGTTGAACACTAGATTGTCTGGTCCAGCTTCATTTATTTACAGACCATATAGCTGGAATATTGTTGAGGGTGATGTTAAACAACTAACAAAGAAAACAAGCAGTATGTATGTGATATGAACTCGGTGCTGCTTTGTAGCACACATATCCTTGGGCAAACTCCTCATGGGGATAACTAACAAGGTTACAGGCCAGGCATGGTCTTCTTCTTGCTGTTGTTCTTTAAGGTCTAGAGTAGGCTCTGTACTTGTGATGCGTGGATTGTGGACGAGCAAATAGTTGTTACATCCATGAATACTGAACCTCAATTACAGAATAAATTGCCAGCATGGTATGCTTACATTTGTCCTTGTTGCTAACTAGTTCTACCCTAAGGTCTGAGTTGTGTCACATTATAGTGTTGTTGAGAATCGGGGGCGGTGGGGTAGCCTAATGGTTAAAGCGTTGGCTCGTCACGCCGAAGACCCGGGTTCGAATCCCCACATGGGTACAATGTGTGAAGCCCATTTCTGGTGTCCCCTCTGTGATGTTGCTGGATTATTGCTAAAAGCGGCATAAAACCAAACTCAGTCAGTCAGTCAGTTGTTGAGAATCATTTGTCTGAACTTGTTTCCACTTGTTAGGTCTACTCCCAACTCAAAGGTCTGGTGGTGGTCCACCTCACAGGAATGATGCCGGTCGATTCCAGGGGGTGAAAAACAACAGAGACAAAGAAAGAGAGAGGGAGCGAGAGAGGGAAAGACGTGAAAGGAAAGAAAACAGACTGAAGCGACAGAGATCTCCATCTCATTCTGTCAAGACCCCAGCTCCCAGGCCGCGGAGTCCTATACGAAGACGGCCTGCTAGGGTTATTCCAAGATATGTTGTACAGATACCCAAGTTGTCACTTGAAACGTAAGTACATCTCTAGTGTTTCTTGAATAGAATCCTAAATGTGTTGTTTCCTGTGTGGATCCTTGAAACAGCTGTTGCAGGTTCTAGTCAGTTAAGATTCACCTTTTTAGGGGGTTTCGAACAAAAGCACATCAAAACTGTTATTGCTTGTTAACGCAAAGCTTCAGATTGATTGATATGACCTTTTAGACATAAATGGCAAAAATATCAGAAATGTAGGATAAGGGTGTGCATTGTGCCTCAAATTGGGGTTTGTTGTATTTTTTAGTTTTGTTTTTCATTGATAAAGGCTCTATGCCTACTGACAATCTGAGGAATTTGAAATGTGTATTTACTATGTTTATGGTCATGATTTGTATGAAGTGATGATCCGTGAAGATCCGGATTAGAATTGATCTTCAGTAACCCATGCTTGTCGTAAGAGTCGAGCTAACGAGATCGGGTGGTCAGACTTGCTGACATAGTTGACACGTGTCATCATATCCCAATTACGTAGATCGATGCTCATGCTGTTGATCACTGTATTGTCTGGTCCAGGCTGGATTATTTACAGACCACTGACATATAGGTGGAACATTGAACTCACTCAATCACTCACTGTATGATGTGATACCTCTTGTCATGTCTGCAACTGTCCTAATGTCAGTGTATTGATCGTTACAGGAAAGGTGGAAATGTAATTGCCCTCAAGTCACGTTATAGCAACTTATATATCCCAAGTGATTTCTTCAATGCCGCCTTCTCATGGGCTGATGTATTCCCTGTTGGCCGACCTTTCCACCTCGGCTCCAACTGTCAGTTCCACATCATGCAGAAAGATGTGGAGCCGCTTCAACCCAATGAGTCTGTCTATGAGGCTCCAGATGCTGACCATAGCTTCAGTGCCAAGGTAAGCCCAGCATTGTTGCAAGGAATTTGTTTTGAAAGTTGCTTAACATATATGAAAATTGAAGTCATGTGTATTTGAATAATAGTATATGTGATGTGACAATTGGTGATAGGTAATAGCCACATTTTCAGCTCTCTGCTGGGCAAGATTCAGTCACAAGCTAGATCAAGAGACTGAGACAAGTGAAAATCTAGAACTACTTGTTATCTCCACCAAAGTAATAACATGAATCAGTAGCCAAAATTGAGTTCTGGAATTTTATTGCTTTATTTCCTCCAAATGTATTTCTTGTTTTGAATGTTTTCCGTTTCCACTCACTAACTATGGTAGACATTTTCAAATATCATTTTCTCCTTTATCAAATTCACATGATTGTGATTTGAAAACTGTAACTGACAAGTAAGATCATGTGTTTTCAAAAACATGCCATTCTGCTAAGCATAACTGATATGGGACTTTGCTTGCAGGTAATGCTCCTGGCCTCACCTCTGATGGAAGAACTGTACCAAAAGTCCTGTGCTCTGGCCCAGACAGACTCAGATTCGTTCCAGCACCCAACACGTTTGCTACAGTTTCTGGTGGGAATCAGAGGGAAGAATGAGCCAATGGCTATAGGAGGAGCATGGTCACCATCACTGGATGGTCCAAATCCAGCTGAAAACCCTCAAGTGTTGATTAAAACTGCTATACGCACAACTAAAGCATTAACAGGATTAGATCTCAGTTCCTGCACCCAGTGGTGAGTTTATCGCGTAGAGCACCCAAAATAGTCCTGCAAATTTTTTTCTTTGTTTAAGCAGTTTAGTTTTAATGACTGTTTTTTCATGTTTATGTAGTGCAGAATGAATTTTTTTCTGTTTTGGTTTAAAGAATTTTTTTCTTTTTTCAAATTTACATCTTTTATAAGATATTTACGGTAGATAAGATTCAATGGAAAATGCTACATTTATCTTTAATTTGACAAGGGGTTTTTTTTCTATCATCTGTGAAATAGGCACCAGTTTTTGTGTCACATGTGATGTGACTGTTCATCTATGAACACATTTATCCCTGCCCCAACCCCTGAAGAAAGATCTCTACTAGCTTGCATACCACTCCTTTATCAGGTATCGGTATGCAGAGATCGCCTATCTCCGGCCTGAGACCAACCACAAAGGCAGACAGGTTCCAGCTCGTGTTGAAACTGTCGTACTTTTTTTGCCCGACGTATGGACTTGTAGCCCAACCCGCCTGGAGTGGGGCAGTCTGCAGGTGGCCTACTCCAAGCAGCTTCAACGCAAGATTGCTGCCATCGAAGGGACAGACCCACAGGCACTTGACTAAATTATAACTTTTTCTTTCTCAATGCAGTGTGTTTGATATACCACTCTCTGTCTGTACAGTCCAGATGTACAAGAACTGCCCACAGGTCACTAGCTAGACCGAACATGCTCAACACAATCGGTGTCCTGCCATGGTTGGCTTGGTGCCATGAGATTAATAGAGAGCTTAGACGTGAAGGAGGTGTCCAGACATGTTGATCCACAGTAACCTTTGGCTGTTCCTGTAATCATGTTCCCTTAGTTCCAAAGTTGTATTTAATTGTTATTTATTGATCTTTCAGATTAAGTCTAAAACTCGAAAAGTTGGTACGTTAGACTCATAGACGGTATAATCATGTTATGGACATGAAATCATCCTGATCTTTGGCCGAGGTAGGGCTGGTCATTCATCAACACCATAATCACTGTTTCCTACTAACCCAGCTGGATGGTTCGGCGCGCTTGCTGATTCATCCAAAATTCACTCAGTGTAGGACTTGGATGCTCAGAGAGTTGGTACACTTTACATGGAAGAAGTGCCTTGTCCAAGAGAAACCATCAAAGTTAAAGATCAGCCTGTGACTTGGAAAATTTAATCATCACTATCTGTGAATATGATGATCAAACTCGATCACTTTACAGGGATTTATCCAGACCAGCTGAGAGGCTAATAACTGTCCCCAAGTCTGCAGAAAATACTGTTAAAAATTCCTAAATTGAAATGAAAAATTTTGCTGTTCATGTAACAACAACTTTTACGGCTTTGTAATGGTAATTGTATTTCACTGATAACAGGAAAAATAGAGATAAAGAAGTATTAATGTTTAGTTTGATATTATTGCATTGAATGCAATGTCAAAATACCATATTAAACTACCTCTGAAATTATGAAACTGAGGACTTCCCATTATTGCCTTTCAGGAGCACTTGGATTCCTTGATAAATCCCTGCTTAATATACTTTTATTCATTTGGCAATTTGAAATTACATGAGGGCACTTTTAAGCCTACAAATCCTTGGATCAGGCACAAATGATTCTTTTGCAGGATTGAAAAATAAGCTGAAAGTATGGGCAGTGCCCAGTACCTATGAAACTGGATATGAAGTGAATGAGATTGGGGGATGGGACAAGATGGTTGTACGAGTGTGCTGCGTGGTGTAACATCTGGTCCAGGCAAGGATGTTTCTGTAACAACGTTCTCTCTTATGTTGTGTAGGCGGAGGAAGAAACTGAGGAAGAGAAGGAAGCAGCTGAAAAGTCTGAACCAACAAACCATGCTCTTCTCGATCCCAAAACCATGAAGGTGAGACAAGTTACTCAAAGCAGTGTGTGATTATAGGTGGAAGGCTAGTAAAATATTTTCTTTCCAGGGATCGAATGTAATGCTGACATAGCATGTTATGTAGAAACCGATGAAACCAAGTATATTCTTGATGGATCTTCATGCCAGTTATTAGATACCTTTACATTTAAGCCAGCATGTCAAATAACAGATACACATAATAACCCTAATGTTGACACTTAAAGACTGAATGGTCCCTGCATCGTATTACTAAAATCTAGAGGACCATGGGCCATCACTTAATCACTAAATCTTTGCAGGTTTCATAAACAATGATGTAACTCTCCTGATGGATTTTAGTGACCATTGTCATGTGTGATGATTTTGTATAGGCTCAGCCTGTATATTGTTATGGGCAAAGTGACATGGAAATGATGTCATGACTCTTCTCTACTTGACAGATCGTGGACTTGAGACACGAGTTAGAGTGTCGAGCTCTGAGCTCTAAGGGTCTGAAGTCTCAACTGATTGCCCGACTGACCAAGACGCTGAAACAGGAGAAGGAAGATGAAGATGAGGAGAAAAGCCAGGTCAGATTTATCTTGAAGATAATTTTCCTGTTACATAGAAGTTAACTTAAGATTACACGTTATTGTGGTAACTTTGTTTGAAGATAAAGGTATGCAGTTTCTAACCGGATGTTTTTGTTTTGTTTTGATCAAATGTATTGCTTTCATCATTGACAGCTTACAAAGTATTTCTTCAGATGGATGATAATGAGGGTAACTACTTCATCAACATTGATTTAGAGTGTGTTACAATTGCAGTGAGTGTCTTTAGTCATAAGTTACAAGCCCCAGTCTAATAAACTTTGTTACTAGTATGTATCTGACAGTAAAGCTCATCTGACTTTAGTTTTAGTTAGAATATCTACTGAATAGTCTCCAAAAACAAATTGTGCTTGGTGACTCAAAAGCCTTTGTCTCAGGCCCCTTGTTTTTCATGTTTATGATACCTGTCAACTGTGTTGATTGTAGCCAGCCGTGGTGCCAGTCAAGGTTCCTGATGAAATTGAGCCAGAGGAAAAGGAAGCTGCAAAGAAGAAAGACGTATGTTGGTTTTTCATCAGAATGTGTTCAGATGATAAGAGAAGATATTATGTCTATGATTTAAGAATGATGGAAAGTAGTATCCTTTTTCCGGGGTATTTGATGCTTTGGATTGTCCGTGAGAATGTTTTTTACTCAGTAGTTATCTCCCTTTGTGAGTGACTTACAGCTGTTGAGGCTTACATCGTTATATGACACCATCAGTTTTTTGTTAATCTTCATGGTGAGAGAAGTGTGAGAAAAGCATTTGGAACAAATCAGTTTCTCTTAGGCCTTGAGATATTCATTGCAGGGACCTGTGAAGATCTGTTTTAGAATTGGTCTTCAGCAATCCATGCTTGTCATAAGAGGTGACTATTGAAATGGGTGGTCTGGTTCACTGACCTTGCAGATGTTGTGCAGATCGATGCACATGATGTAAATCACTGGATCACTGATCCAGACTTGATTAGGGTCGGTAGTGCAGCCTAGTGGTTAAAGCGTTCGCTTGTCATGCCAAAGACCCGGGTTCGATTCCCCACAATGTGTGAAGCTCATTTCTGGTGTCCCCCGCCGTGATATTGCTGGAATATTGCTGAAAGCGGCATAAAACCATACACACTCATTCATTCCCTCAGGCTTTATTATTTACTGACTGCTTACATATATCATGATTATTGCAGAGTGTGGTGTTAAGCAACAAACGTACAATGTGTTGCCAGATACAAAGAGTATAATATATATTCAGATGTATTTTAACTAGTTTTGCACTCATGTAACTGAACATCATTTAGAAATCATGCTTTGTTGTGATTTGAACAAGACCAAGTCATTTGTCTGTTCTCTTAAATTACAATTGTACTGTTTCTTTTGTCCTCTGTGGGCTTAGACAAGATAGCTGTGTCTTTTGTTATTTAGGTTAGTGGAATGAATGTATGCTGGGTGCATGGGCTTCCAACCTTCATGACCCGTGAAGATCTGGGGTGGAATAGGTCTTCAGCCACAAAAGGCGACTATGCTTGTTGTAAGAGGCGACTATCTGGATCGGGTGGTCAGGCTCGCTGACCTAGTTGACACATGTCATCGGTTCCCAATTGCAAAGATCGATGATCATGCTGTTGATCACTGGATTGTCTGGTCCAGACTTGATTATTTACAGACCGTCGCCATATAGCTGGAATACTGCTGAGTGCAGCGTAAAACTAAGCTCACTCACTCACTCACTCCAATCCACATTGGTCATGCTTTACCATAAAAATCATCACACACACACGCACACACTCCCTCTCCTCTCTCTCTCTCTCTCTCACCTTAACCATAAATTATGTACGTTCCCTTATTCCATGTAACTTGTTTATTTCCAGGAAGAAGAGAAGAAAGCTAAAGAAAAGAGAGAGAAGGCAGCAGTTGAGAGGAAGTACTGCTTGCCTAGCAACCCAGCAATCATTATCAACCCATCCCCCACAGCCAAGGGAGGCAAGTTTGACTGCTCCCTCATGTCCCTCAGTGTCCTGCTAGACTACCGACCAGAGGACAACAAGGAACACTCCTTTGAGGTGAGATCTGCACCTCAGCATTGTCTTAGTCCACAATCTGGTGCTGTGCTCTGTATCATAGGGGGACAAATAGAACTTGATGATGTCATCGAGCTTGAATGGGAGTTGGAATCGGTTCCCAGGAAACTATGCTGATCATAAGAGGCATTGCTTGTTTCATTGCTTAAAGCAGCATTCACTTGATTGTCTGGCCTAGAGTCTTATTACAGGCTACCATCATTTAACTAGTATATTGAGTTGGCTTTAACAGATGAGACAACAAAGACAACAAGCAATTGTAAAAGGATAAAAAAAAACACAGGCAGTCCAAGGCTTATGGACAGAACGAGTCGATCAATTGTATTTATTTGTGAGTACAACAGCTTTATCTAACTGATAAAGAAATATGACACTGAAAAATCCGATAATTAGGGTCATTGAGCATGGCTCTTATTGCTCTTTTTCATCTTAGAATCAAGGACGTTGTGGGACATTCAGTGAGTACTGACTGATATAGTTCTAGGGAATATCCTGCTTCCAGACACACTTCATTATTGACACAAACAAGTGTCCAAGCTGTAGTTCAACATTGATGAAAGCTTGAACTCAAACATATAACTGACAGACAAGTCAGACATCCTAGATACTAACTGTCCTAACCATCACAACTCATACACACACTCTCATTCATTCATAATCTTCTAAAACTCACCAACTGTTATTCAAATATTCCAAACATGCTATGTTAGTTACAGTCTCCTCCTGAATAGCAAAGCATCAGAATTACTTCCGTATAATGGAACACACTAACATGACTAAATGCTGCTCTGAAAAGACACGAAATGTTGCTTAAAATGTTATTGTTATCTCAACATGTATACCATGATTCATTGAGGGAGTTTTCTCTTCAGATGTATTGTTTTCAATTATTACAATCTAACCAAGGACGTCTCAAACTATACACTACAGATTAAAATTCTTGTGTGTTTTTTTGTGTAAGACACTACACTTTATTTCATGAATAAATTGCTTTTGTCTTTTTTCAGTTTTTTGTTGATTGTTTTCACCAGAGATGTTCCCATTTGTGGTTATTTTCAGGTGTCTCTGTTTGCTGAGCTGTTTAATGAGATGTTGATGCGGGACTTTGGCTTCCAAATCTACAAAGCTCTTGTACTTGCACCACCCAAAAAAGAGGAAGAAAAGAAGGAGGACAAGAAAGACGACAAAAAGGATGATAAGAAAGATGATAAGAAGGACGACAAGAAGGACGACAAGAAGGACGATAAGAAGGACGATAAGAAAGATGACAAGAAAGACGAGAAGAAAGATGAGAGAAAAGAAGACAAGAAGGACGAGAAAAAGATGAGAAGAAAGATACTAAGGTTTGTACTTTAGTTTGATTATAAACAGGTGTACATAATGATGTTTTAAGAGTATCAGTACTGTAATAATAATATGTATTATTGATAGTGTTGCTACATTGTCATCTTCAATTCAAAATCCAGATTGGTGCAGTTTTGAAGCTCTGGTATAGGTATCAATGAACTTGGCAGATGTGATTCAGTGCACAAACAATGAAGAACCAGTCTGTGTTAAATGCACTTTATTGTAGGGCCTTGCTATTTCATAACGCTCTTTGTTGAGGTATTAATTCATTGTGAACCTACATCAAACAAACATTATTGGAAGAAGGGGTTTTGTCTCATTGGCATCAGTTTAGATGGCATAATTCTTCAACATATTTCTTCAAGGGGAAATTTTTAACGTATGACGTAAGTGGTCTGAACATAGTGGTTGTACTTTTGAATGTATAGGGATGTCTTGAGATGACATGTCACCTGATCTGCCTCATCTCCACTGAGTCAGTTGAGGGTTATGATTTGGGACTAGTTTTGTGAATTGCCATCCAATAATATACTGCACATTTTCTTTGCAAACACTGAAATATGTCCACTGCACTTGCAGGAACCTGTCATCAAGAAGAAGAAAATGGAAGAAATTGAGGTTTGTAACTTTCAGCCTGTATTCAGGATGTTATACATGCATATTGAAAAGAAGCTGAACAATTATTATGGTTAATCTGTGAAGAACACGATTTTTTCAAATTGCTGTAGTTAATTTGTCATAGCATGGCAGATTAACCTTTTTGATGTGAAAGAATTTTTAACTTCTTCAGAGTAATATTTTGATGACAATATTGCTGTAGTATTGGGGTACTGTAAGTCAAACATTTATTGTTTTAACAATATTTAGGTGATAATTTGATGGAAATGAGTGAAATCAGGTTTGTAATGAATCTGTTTATCTTATAGGAGGAGAAGTCATTTGATGGTGCTACCAAGAAGGAGTCGGTGGAGGAGGAGATGGAAACGGAGGAGATGGCCAATGATGAAGAGGTTTGCATCCATGGAACATTTTATGGTTGACTGAAAACTGTTTGGGTCGGGGAACATCAAGGGAGATAAAGCAAGAAGGAGGATGGATATGTGCCTTTCTTCAATTATTGATTATTGACATCGTGAGAATTGTAATCAGAGTTGTCCCCCTTGTGTTACATTTGTGCTCTTGTCTTTGTTCTTCGGGTATATCTGACTGTTGCTTTCTTTAATTTTTGTTGGTTTTTCTGATTTGAAAAGCTTTCATTTCATTATCATTACAGAATGAAGATAAAACTGATGGAGACTCCAAAAAAGATAAAGGTAGGGCTTGATAAACTTACTTGATATGTCTTTATCATGCTTATGACCTTTCAGTATGGAATTCCTGAAATTGTTGCATTTATTTATGTTTTATTTTATTTTTTTTTTTCCACCTAGACAAGAAGGATAAGGATAAGAAAAAAGATAAGAAGAAGTACTTGACTGTGGATCCTGCCCTGCTTCTCGCCTTTGTTTACTTCGACCAGAACCACACCGGCTACCTGTTGGACAAGGATGTAGAGGAAATCTTGCATACTATTGGGCTTCATCTGTCTCGTGCTCAGGTGATGAAAACAAGCCAGTGTTGATGTACTTTTTTATTTTAGCTGATGTTTTTTTAGAGTGAAAAATATTGTGGTTTCGTTTGTTTGTTTGTTATTCCCTTGAAGATCTGGGTTAGAATTGATCTTCAGTAACCCATGCTTCTCGTAAGAGGCAACTAATGGGATCTGGTGGTCAAGCTCGTTGACTTGGTTGACACATTTGTATTTACAGACCTGCACCATATAGCTGGAATATAGCTGACTGCAGCATAAACTTAAACTCACTCACTGTTGTTGTTTTTGTTTGTTTGTTGCCACACTCTGAAATATTCCATCTATTTGCCCACAGTCTGTGAGGTGAGGTGAAATTGGGTTTTACGTCGTGCTTGAGAATATTTCGCTCATATGACGAGGTGCATGCGTGTGTATGTGTATGTGCGGCTGCTTGTACTAGCCCAGACTGAAGCTGGTTTTATAGTGCTAGCCCACTGAGATACCATGCCGCAGTGAAGCATGAATACCCCACTCAGACACATTATGCTGACTCCGAGCCGACCAGTCCTTGTTGTACCCATTAATGCCGAGCGCCAGGCAGGGACCAACAAGTACCATATTTTAACGTCTTTTGGTTTGAATCGAACGCGACCTTCCGCTCTCGGGCGGACGCTTAACCACTACACCACGGTAAACTTGTGAACGACAAAGCAGACATGTCATTAATGCTTTGATGACATAGGATGGGAATCGCAAAACAATCTCGAGGCGAAACCTTCCGCTTCCGCTCTCCGGGCGGACGCTCTAACCACTACACCACGGAGGCGGTAAATAAGTTGGTCAGACCAGTGAAGTGATTGACAGCATGAGCATTGATCACTGACTACAATTGGTAACAATGACATGCATCAAACAGATAGGTGAACCCAACTACCTCATGCTATTGGACAAGCATTGGTTAATGAAGATAATTCTAATTAACCTGATTTGGTTTGTTACTTTGTTTGTTGTTTAACACCACTCAGCAATATTCCTGCTATACAGTAAAATGTTTAAGAAATTTTTATTCCTGCTATATGGTGGCAGTCTGTAAATAATCGAGTCAAGACCAAACAATTCAGTGACCACCAACATGAGCATTAATCTACACAATTGGGATACAATGACATGTGTCAACCCAGTCAGCATGTATGAGCACCTGATTGCTTTATTCCCCTCTTATGACAAGCATGGGTTGCTGAAGATCAGTTCTAATTAGGAAGCTTATACTGAGAGAGTACCAGTACATGTCTTCGACTGGTTAATGTGTCAGTGCAGGCACAGTTTTGTAATTCATCCAGGGTTTTACATGATGCGTGATTCCTGCGTATTTGACGCAACAATTTTGTAAACAACTCTCAAAATATTATCATACGAGTCAAGCTTGACGCAAGTTTTATGGGTGGCCCTCACAATTCAGTTCAATAAAATCGATACAATCGAAAGACAAAAAATGATATTGTACGATGATAGTTTGACTTTTACAGAGCTGTCAGATTATTACAGAGAACTCAGAGGAGATAGTAATCCTGGCTGTTTGAATTGAACAATGCTGTAGTTTCATTTGGTGGTGTGACATAGACAGTTACATACTGAGAATGATTAACACAAAGAAATATAAAAAATTTCATAACTTCCAAATATTGAAAATGACTCTCAAAAATAATTATTGTGAGTCACCATGACTCTCACATTTTTAAAAGTCTGTGTAAAACCCTGTTCATCAAGAAGCACATATTAAAAATCATGTCTGTATAGTTAAGGAAAGAAGGAGTGAGTGAGTGGTTTAGTTTTATGCTGCTTTTAGGAATGAAAGGAAAGTGAGTAATTACTTCACTGGTTTAATGTTTTTTAAACTCATTCTCCTTAAATTACCTTTGTGGATCATAAGTAGACCAAATTAGGTATGTGGACATTTTTTTGCCAGATTCTTATTTCCTCGGTATGGTCGGTGATTGAACTGTCAGCAGTCAGATTGTACTCTATATAATAATTGAAAACTGTTAGACATTTGCAGGCCACTAATGTTTTGTTGTGACAACAGGTGAAGAAACTGGTACAGAAAATAGTGTCTCGGGACACTGTGAACTACCGTAAACTGACGGACAGACCTGTGTTGTCTGAAGGCGAGACCAAGGTGGACGAGGCTCCAGCAGGGACAGCGGTCAGTGAAGAGGAGATATGTAAAGGTGTGGTAACCAGTCTCTACGCTATGTTTTTTATCTTAATACATTCAGATTAGGGCTGTAACAAATCCACTATGAGACGAATGTGATACATGTTATGAATATTGGGTTACAAATACAAATTCAGGCTAACACATTTTTCATTACATTCAGTGAAATAATAACAACACAAATTCATTGACATGTTTTGACCCTGTTGACAGTGTCAAGTAGTGGTGGTCCGATTAATTGAAATAATCAAAGATTAGTCGCTGTGACTTAACGGCCAAGCAATCGATCATGTTTTCTTATAATCGAACACAAACAATTTTGGAACATTTGTATGCATTAACAATATTTTTCACAAGGTTGGTTTTGCCAGCTACATTTCATAAGCGTTACCAACTTGTTGCAAGTCATGATTGAATTTATCTTAAAGACACCAGGAAATTTATGTTCCTAACATACTAGTCATCCTTTAAAGATGTGAAATTTTGCAAATGCAATTTGTGCAATTTGAAAAACCCTGAAAAGAACTACATGTTTTATCTTTATTTTTGTGCATTAAGAAACATATCCAGGAAAATGTGATAAATGACGCTAACCAGTTATTTTCGACGATCAATTGTGAGACTTTAACCAATTCCCAATGCTAGTGTTAAGTTTTTCACGCCATGGACCAGTCACCTCATTAATGTCAAACTAAATGTATGAGTGTTGACAATTTTCCTACCTAACTTGGAGGCATTCCATTTTGCATATAATGCTTTAAAAAATACCACCTTGATTCAAGTAAGAACACTCCTTTTTATAAAACATTATGAATATGTTTCTTGTGAACGCGACTGAGGAATTGAATTCTTGAAAGGACAGGGCAAGTGAATCAATACAGCCCTAATTGGGATGGTAACAGACATGTCTTTGAAATATCTATAGACTGATCTACTTTCCTTCCTGACACACTATCATAACAGTGAGGCTAGGTTCATACAGGGCCTATGGCACCACAATTACACAGAGCGGAGTTGCATGTCCAAGCCAACCTGAAATCATGAGTTAAAATCCCCAATCTATCTGGGTATATATCAAAGTTTGGCAGCATTTTTGTGGGCCTGATGAGAGAAGTAGATCTGGGACCTGCATCGCTTTGATCTTTGGTTTTTAGCTGCCAGACCTTCATGGTGTTCAAGCCAACTCACTGACGTTGATGTTTGGATATTGTTTAATACTTGGATAATAAGGGATATTTTCTCATGTGGATGTTAGCTTGTTTTCACTAATCTTCTTTCTTGTTGATCATTTGGTTGTAATTTCAGTGTAGACTTTGATATTTCTGGGAAAATTTGTTTCAGCATTTTTGACAAAAACAGTCTTGAGAGGATATTGGTTTACTGACAATTTGTGAATACAAATACCTCAATCCATTTCTCCTCTCCAAACTACTTTATCTCTTATGTTGTCTGCAGGTAACATAGACTTCCTGAAGAAAGCAGGAACAGTAGCTTCCAAGCCAGCCGAAAAGCCAAGCACTCGGAACAGTACAGCCAAGGCGGATTCTCCCCAGTCCCACATCATCCACTATAAGGGCTCCCTGCTGGATATCGACAGTCTCATGGCCAGACTGGACAAAAGTGAGAAGTGTCGAGCAGATCTGGAGAATAAGATGGAGGAGATGACAACTGATAATTGTGAGTATAACAGGCTGGTGAAATCACTGTGGTGAATTCCAGGGCTTATTGGGGCGGTGGGGTAGCCTAGTGGTTAAGCATTCGCTCGTCACGCCGAAGAGCCAGGTTGAATCCCCACATGGGTACAATGTGTGAAGACCATTTCTGGTGTCCCCTACTGTGATATTGCTGGAATATTTCTGAAAAGTGGCGTAAAACCGTACTCACTCACTCACTCACTCCAGGGCTTATTATGTACTAGGTATGACATGCTTGTTTGTCAAGCCTGCTGTAGGTTAGGAATAGGTAGTTACAAGGTGTGTTCATTGTGGAACTCAAAGAGAGACAGCAGAGAAAAAGAGTCTTATACCTGTGAGCACTCTGGATTATTAGGTACCCTTTTTGTTGGAAGAGCCTACTATTGGGAATGGGTGGTTACAATGGATAATTTTATTGAGTTATGTCATCATACTGAACAGCACTGAAACTTACCCGTGAAGATCCGGGTTAGAATTGGTCTTCAGTAACCCATGCTTGTCATAAGAGGCTGACTAACAGCATCGGGTGGTCAGGCTTGCTGACCTAGTTGACACATATCATCGTATCCCAATTGCGCAGATCGATGCTCATGCTGTTGATCATTGGATTGTCTGGTCCAGACTCGATTATTTACAGACCGCCGCCATATAGCTGGAGTACTGCTGAGTGCGGTGTTTAACAACCAACCAACCAGCACAGAAACTGCTTATCTTATCAAACACTGGTCTGCCTGGACCAAACTTGATTATTCAAGCACTGCAGCTAGTCCTCCAGTTCCAACACAGTTGCAGAGGACTGTAGGACTAGAAGGAATTACTTGAAAAATTACAATAGCTGACATTGTACAGCTGCCAAGATAAACGTGGGACATTTCTATCTGCACTGGAAAACAACATTCACTCAGCCTCATAGTGGAAGCTGAACCCTGTGGCTGCATTATACCAAAAGATGTTACAAGATGGAATTTATTGTGAACCTGCTTGACCATGTTGAATAAGCACTGGTAGGTTTGGAGAAGGGTATAGATGTTAAGCATGGTATCTGAGAAGTATAGCGACATTAGCCCAGACTAGTACAAGCAGCCACACGAACATGTATGCATGTCTCGATATAAGTGCAATAATTCCCTTTTCACCCCACCATAACACATTGTTTACTTCAATATTGCCTTGTGTTTGGCAGATTCCATGAAGAGCACCCTGAATACAAGTGAGTATAATTGTCAGAAGCTGGTATCCGAGTTGAGGCAGGTGAAAACGGAGCTGGAGAAGGAGCATATTATGCGTGAAGAGGCAGACACATGTAACAGGAAGTGGACTGCTGTCGTCACAGAAAGCAAGGATACCATCGCCACTGCCCTCTCTGCCATGACAGCTCTTCTGGAAAACAAGCCAGCTGTTGTGCACAATTCAGAACCGGAGAAGTCAGATAAAGATCATGTTAAGGATCACAAGAAGGAACCTGGCAATAAATAAATTTGTTATAATTATGTCATATGTAAATATTCACCTTTGCATACATACCTGTTGACATATGTCATTGTACCAAAATTTCAGTCATATTTTATCAGTCATGAATTGTTTCATTAACATTTGTCAACTGCATTTAATATGTTAATCTGTACATGGATGTGTTCACTAGGGTTGAAGGTCTGGTGTCAGAAAGTCATTTATGGAACACCTGCTGTTTACGTGACAGTTACGTAAAAAAGAAGGTACCTTGCAACATAAATTCACTTCTTTGGCTGACATTGTCTTGAGATTAGCAAGTGGTCATGGCTTCTTTTTTCAGTCTCGTGATTGTTGGGGTATTTTTAACTGGTCATGTTGTTTTTAGGTCACATGATAAGGTGTGAAATTGCATAATACTTCTATTTCAGTCAGATTCTGTGTACCACTATCATACAAATGGTAGATATGAATGTACATGATTTCCTGAAAAGACTTCTGTATATGTATTCCAGTCTTACAGAAATGAAACCCAATTTAGTTAAGCCAAACAGACATGGCAGATATTGTTGTGAATGAGTTAAGATTTATAGTCACATCAGCAATATTTCAGCCAGATTGTAGATTGCGAAAAATGTAACTGTACATATTCCAATTTTGCAGCTAGTTCAGATGGATTATCCTTGTTGAGTTTCCTTGGGTAAGCCGTTCGAGTGACATTGTGTGTCCATACCCAAATACATGCACTTCCCAGGAATATCTCTTTGGAAAGTGTCGATATCTGAGGCCACATGATTGTGTTCATTTCACCCTCTGACTGGTATTCATCTGAGGAGTGTGATAATGTTAACCAAGTAATAGATTATGTGAAGACATAATGTTGGTGAAGAAGTATTGTTTTTTGAAACAATGTTGATTAGCTTCACCATGTCTACATGATGTCAGCCATTATAGGTTGTGATGTCGTCATCTGCCTCATGATGTCAACAGTGATCTCTATTTAATGTCAACAAACGTTTTGCTGTTAGGTCAACAATGTTGTAGAGCATGTGAAATCTTTACATTGTGCTTCATTTCTTGTCACGAGCAGCATAGATGTTTATCGTCTCTCAGTACTTGTGTGTTCCAAAACGAATGAAATACAAATATTTGAGACAAAAATATGCAATTTATATGATGAAACCATTCAGATCATCAAAGACATGGTGTTTCTTGACATACCATAACATCACAGATATTTTGTAGGTATGGAATGTTGCTGCATGCTACAAAATGCAAGGCATATATGCAGGGTTGTTGATTCTTATACAATTTATAAGATTGTTATCAAATATTTCTGTTTGGTTAATTTGTTTGAAAAATACTTTTTGTAAAAAACGTGTCTGTGTTGACTGACTGTGCAGTTTCCTGGTAGTGAGGTGTGTATTGGTCTTGGGAAATTCTTCCACCATCACCCCTTATATTTTACTCCGATGGCATAAGTAGACTAGACCCTAGAAACCAGCATGGATAAAAGAAGGATAAAGACCAGCTGGTGGCTGTCATTCGATACATTCTTGTTCTATTGAATATACCTCAGAGAGTCTTGTGTCAGATATGTGTCCAGTATTGTGCACAATGATAAACATGAATAAATTATCATTTATATCCAAATCGTTTGTTGTTAATTGCAGGTATGGTAGGGTGTTGATGTTGAGGTTTACGTCACATCAGCATTATTTCAACCATATAGCGACTGGTATGGTAGGGACAAAGGTCATGGACTGTCAACCGTGGCTATGTTGCTTTTACAGTGTTGAGCTGCAGATTAAAAAATATTAAGGACTTTTCAATGTGAGTGTCAGAGTGGTGCCACACGGGCCCTTTTTGATCTGTTTGCAGCTTTTCACACTTTCTTGTCACTAAAAGAATAAAGAAGTGAAATTAAATGATACGCCGTTGCCTGGTTCTAGATCTGAAAAACATCCACTACATATGGAATGGTAGAGGATTCAGTGATCAACTTATCTTTTCTCCCTGTGCCAACCAGAGCGAGCTCTGATGTCTAAATCACATGTCATTGGGCCATTACAACGACCAACACTTTCGCCAAAGTTGGATCATTTCTGTGGAATGGGCTCCCAATTCTATCGAAAGTATCTAGACGTTTCCACGTTTACGAATTATCTCAAAATAGTTTACTTCGACAGAGCCGACGAGTAAGCGTCTGTCAGGAAATGTTCAAAGAAGGCGCTATATATTATATGAACGTTATTATGTCTATCAAATACCTTTCCTTCGAACTCTTTTGTCGATCGTGCAGTTATCGCGAACTAAACACTCAGGTTTTTTAGTATTCATTCTTTATTCATCGTTTTCCGGTTGTTTGAATAACTCGAATAATTTACCTCAACTTCGACACATGGGTGTTTGAATATGATAATGGTTGCAAAGCCGAAAGCGTCTTGAAATGGACACCAGACCGTGGTCACAGGTCCCTTACAGTCTACTCCAAGGCCACACATAAGTCAATATCCAACAATTTCCAGAGGTTAAATGCACCGTCCAAAGTGGCCTGGTACGTGTATCCGAGCAAGACTGGCGTGAGCCACATTCATTTAGCTGATACACGTCAGATTTAATCTGGCATGCCCAATCAGTATTTGGAGTTTCAATGCCATTAACGTGATGACTGGTGCCAGGGGACACCCCCAAACAAGGATCGCTCTGAGCGTAATTTAATTTCCGTGATCTCGATGCACAGGTAAAGTACGATAACAATCACAATTTGTACAGGTTAAACAGGGGCCGAAAGGCGCTGTATGAGAGCAAAGGTTAGCCGGGTTTGAAATAGTTTTTGAATAGAATGTTAACACGTGGATGTCGTGGTAAATAATTCTGGAGTCTATTCATTGACACATGAATGCATGACTGTATTCTGAACTGGTTATATATTAAATCGTGAAACGGACTACATGTATATATAAACATTCATTACGGGAGTGGATTCCAAATGGCATTATTTTACCGCACGCAACTGGCTCAATTAACACATATCATTTGATTAAAGAAGATTGATGAACAGTTCATACATTCACACATGTATTACACGTGATGGAAATGGATTCTGAACTGGCTATATATTAACACATGCATTCCGCGTGATGGAAATGGTGTCTGAACTGGCTATATATATTTTAACACATGCATTCCGCGTGATGGAAATGGTGTTTGAAATGTCTATATTTTAAAACATGCATTCCGCGTGATGAAAATTGTGTCTGAAATGTCTATATTTTAAGACGTGCAGTCCGCGTGATGGAAATGGAGTCTGAAATGTCTATATTTTAACACATGCATTCCGCGTGATGGAAATTGTGTCTGAAATGTCTATATTTTAAGACGTGCAGTCCGCGTGATGGAAATGGAGTCTGAAATGTCTATATTTTAACACATGCACTCCGCGTGATGGAAATTGACTTTGAACTGGCTATATTTTAACACATGCATTCCGCGTGATGGATATGGAGTCTGAAATGTCTATATTTTAACACATGCAGTCAGCGTGATGGATATGGAGTCTGAAATGTCTATATTTTAACACATGCAGTCAGCGTGATGGATATGGAGTCTGAAATGTCTATATTTTAACACATGCAGTCAGCGTGATGGAAATGGTGTCTGAAATGTCTATATTTTAACACATGCAGTCAGCGTGATGGAAATGGTGTCTGAAATGTCTATATTTTAACACATGCAGTCAGCATGATGGAAATGGTGTCTGAAATGTCTATATTTTAAGACGTGCATTCCGTGTGATGGAAATGGAGTCTGAAATGTCTATATTTTCACACATGCACTCTGCGTGATGGAAATGGTGTCTGAAATGTCTATATTTTAAGACGTGCATTCCGTGTGATGGAAATGGAGTCTGAAATGTCTATATTTTAAGACGTGCATTCCGTGTGATGGAAATGGAGTCTGAAATGTCTATATTTTAAGACGTGCATTCCGTGTGATGGAAATGGAGTCTGAAATGTCTATATTTTCACACATGCACTCTGCGTGATGGAAATGGACTCTGAACTGGCTAAATACCAACACATACATACTGGGAAATGGAGACTGAAAACGGGACATCTAAGGCTGCCAACACCAACTATAGTTTGAACACCTCTTCATACCTGTCACGTGCATAGCTGACCTACATTGACGAACGTTGACCTTTATGACCCACCACTGCCGCTGTTACAGGTCATTGGCTCCCTCCCTCTGCAAGTCGTCTGCGTTCTGCTGTTGATTTTGTTGACAGTTACATAGACAGATTCTTTAATACAAATGCATAAAATCGGTGATTTACAATGTGATTAGGTTGTCTGACAAAACATCCACTTGCACAGTTTGAGATCGATTGGGTCATTGGATGAAGAGATATTTACAAAAAAACGGGTCCACATGCATTTCATGCCAAACTATACAAAGATGTATGACATAGCGTGCATGCACAACTGAAGGACCTCGCTCGTAAAGTATTGACGATGGAGAATCATTGTTCTTGTCCATTAGTCCAATGTGAGTAATCGGCATTTCCGGGTTGTGTTCAACTGGGGGTTTGAGTTTTCTCCGGGTTTGTTGGTGTGTATGGTCAGACCGCCGTATTTCAATCTCAGATCACTACCCAGCCAACCCAGACCTTTTGTTATTGCCTGCTCACCGAACAAGACTCTATCATCTCATTTCATTTCCCTGCTCAGATATTAAAGTATATATCGTGATAACATTGCCATATAGACACAGAAAATAAAAGGGATAAAAGGACTGGCCACATTAGAGTGTTAACAATACGGATGTCGATACCGATGATGGTAACGGTAATGATCGCATACATATACTACCCATCAAAAGTTTAGACTCACTTAAAGCTCTCACTATATGTTATGTATATATATATGTGGTTACATCGAAGATGAATTTCTTAACTAACTTGGGGGAACTAGCTGCAAACCTTATGCAGATGAATTGCACGAGGATCATGAATCAAATTGCTGAAAAGCATGTGCAAATATCGTGCATGTGAACAGCTGCGTTTTGGTTTAAAGTTGTGTTAAGAATTTGCCAATTTTCACTGAGTTTCATCATTTATTGAACTCATGGCAATACTCTCTTCAACGTTACGAATTTGTTTTACAATACATCAGTTCATGTGTAAATAGTACCTCTAAACTATATAGAATATTTTGCAAAATCTAGTCTAGATCAGTTGACTGAAGTAAGTGGATACATTTACACTAGTGAGTCTAAACTTTTGATGGGTAGTATATATGGCTTATGTTGACACAGGATAGAGTCCGTTTTCTTGGCATCGTTTAGGGACACGGGTGATCCAGTCGTCTGAGGCGATGCAATCAGCTTTGCAGGGTTGTCTCCCTTTGTTATGCGAGAAACCTATCATCTGCAGTTCGACTCTCATTTTCGCCTAATTATGTTTCTAGGTTTGTCAGCACCAAACCCAAGCTTGTGGTTTCACCAAAGTGGCTACCACCTATGTCCCCGTACCATGTCAAGCTGTGGCGGTACTGAAATATTGTTGTACTTAAATTCACTTACCTTCTCTCGGTATCGTTTGAATATATTCAAGACAGAACATTCACTTAGACCATCACGAGGAACTTCCCAGACCACTCAGAACGAAGCAGCCTGCAACAGTTCAGAAATCGATAATAATACATGATAACACCACATATATTCAGACATTACCTACCATTGCATTGAAGATTTTTTACTGTTTCGTCTCGAGACTGTTTTTGCCGTTCCCATCCTATGTCATCAAAGCATTAATAACATGTCTACTTTGTCGTCCACAAGTCTCTTGTAGCCATCGACCGCCTCGGTGGTGTAGTGGTTAGAGCGTCCGCCCGGAGAGCGGAAGGTCACGGGTTCGACCCCGACCACGTCATACCAAAAGACGTTAAAATATGGTACTTGTTGATCCCTGCTCGGCATTAATGGGTACAACAAGGACTGGTCGGCTCGGAGTCAGTATAATGTGTCTGAGTGGGGTATTCATGCTTCACTGCGGCATGGGCTAGCACTATAAAACCAGCTTAAGTCGGGGCTAGTACAAGCAGCCGCACATACACATACACACGCATGCACGTCCTCATATGAGCGTAATATTCTCAAGCACGACGTTAAACCCAATTTCACCTCACCTCACCTCTTGCAGCCACCAAACGCTACATGACGGTTTGCACTAACCATTAAATATAAAAAGCACAATTTTGCTTCTGATCGGACCCGCGTCAAAGTTGAATGGTACTGTTATCACAAAGACGTATCACGGCCATGGAATCAAAGTTTCAGTCTCTGTCTTATAGCAATACAATATGTTTTCAAAGTAGGAAGGAGAACATGTTCGTCACAGAAGGCTATGACTGTCTACCATTATGCTTTATTTCTTTGCCTACTTTTCATCCTTTATTTGTATGTTTTTGTACTGAATAATAACAGTTCGTATCAAGGACCAGTAGTTGACAATCACGTTTCGATTGATGGACAGCCGAGGCTCTCCTATAGACCAAACACGCCGGATATTATCGACGTGTTTTAAAAAACAACCGCAGTTTTGTTTTCTTTCGTTTGTAAACGATATGGAGAACACCCACTAT